CCTAACACTGAGGACCTGACACTGACCAAGGACCTAACACTGAGGACCTGACACTGACCAAGGACCTAACACTGAGGACCTGACACTGACCAAGGACCTGACACTGACCAAGGACCTGACACTGAGGATGTGTATTTCACTGTTGAACCACTTGGAAATGGTATTGCTTTGGGCTGAAGAACTTAACTTTTCACCAAGGCAAGATATTGTAGCCAAGATTTCAAATGCAGCCAAAGACAGCAAACAAAGACTCATGAAAGTCTTTTGAACCAGATTTTTTGTGCGACACTTTTATCGCAACCTCCCATTTTGCAACACTCTTTGGCACTTGATATCTGCCTCAAACTGAGACAATAAGCATGTTAAGTACAAAAGTCACATTGATGTTCAACACATGCTCTGCCTCCACAGACTTCGCTGATGTGTGTGTATTTGAAACAAATGTGTACATGTCTCCCAGTAAGGGCTCAGAGTGGATCTGACTGTGCAACCTCTCAACCACATCTGCAAATATAGATTGGCAGATTATGTTAGCCCATCCTTAGGTGTGAACGGGTTAAAGGCTGTTCAGGTATTGAATGACCATGTGTGACATGACCTGTGTGATTCAAACAGTTGAATGCACACCACGTATTAGTGTAATGTCTCATTACATTTTCTAGCTTACTTTTATGATGAATTAGTGAAGACCACCCCTACGAAAATGTCTTGTGGTAATTATGTCCCGAGATGTTATAAGATTACCATGGGACATGTTTGTAAGGGTTAAGTTACTCGTTTTGTTAATCATTTCTGGTAACGACACCAAGCCTGAAGAAAACTGTAGAGAGGAGACAGTGAGAAGCGGGTTACAGTTGTAGAGGTGGGAGGAAAACCCTAGAGGAATATTCTGGGTAAAACCCACGGAGTCAGGTAGGGACTGAAAACCCGATCCACATGTGGACAGAGCCGGGATTTGAACCTGGACTGCAGAGGTGGAAGGCGAGGAAAGAATCACTATGCCAACCTGACTCCTTTTTCAGTCTGTCAATACAACTACTTTATTTTAACTGTAAGATGAAGCATTCAGTTTATAATTATGAAAGAAGTGATACACTGACTCTGTTTGTGCATGCTTTATTTTCTGGCAGGGTTTCCTTGTAGAGTCCAAGCTGAACACCCTTCTTGCGCCACTGGAGAAAGACGAGAGAAATCTCATGAAGCTGGACGCCATCTTTGGGGTAATTCACTTTGTGCTGAAACTGATGTTTTCAATCAATCACAATTAAATCCTAACACACTGAATTATTGTGCATCTGCTAGTGCGTCTGGTCTGTGGCAGTAAAGTTTCTTGCCCAAGGTCCAGTATAACCTACTGCTGGATTCGAACCAACAATCCTATAATTGCTAGCACCAGATTATCCAATAGAGATAGTAGTCACTATGCCTAAGGCCCATGAAAAATTAGGGCACCCCCATGGAAAATTTGAGGGTACACGAAAATACCACAGTGGGCCTGAAAAATACATATATGTTTGGACCGTTTTGGACCATTTTACTGAATTTTCAATTTTTGGAAAGCTTAATTGAAACAACAGCTTGGTATCACCATCAACTGGGAGGCTCCAGTGCTCATGAAATTGGTGCTGGTGCCTGGGCAGGATAGGGCCTAAAACACTGGTGCTTAGGGCCTGCAGACATGGTGCCGAGGGCCTGTGGACTGATGGAACAATTAATCCAGCCCAGATAATCAGGAGTTACATACCCTAACGGCTAGTCCGTAAAGCCCCCCTCTGTCCAATTTCAATATGTTTCTCTCCCTGGCCCACAGGCTCTGGGCGTTGAGACAGAGGAGGACGTCCATAAGCTAGCCAACTTCTTCATCAAGTATCAGACGCTGGCGGAAGCGCCGGCAGGCGAAGGCCAAACGGCAGAGGAGAAAGCTGTCGATGCTCCCTTCACTGTGGATACTGAAAAACAGGTACTGATTCAGAAAAACACAGAACTTGTTCTGGTTGATATAAACTGAGCAGTTTACTACAGTGACCATTCACAGGACCAGTCAAGCGTGACGGGGTAACATGCATGCATTGACCAATGAATGCTTTTGTTGCAGTTCGTTTGAATAGCTTGTGACTTGAATCCAGAGTGGAGGTCCCATGTTGATCTTGTGATGGTCTAGTGGGGTACCTATGATGGTCTAGTGGGGTACTTATGATGGTCTAGTGGGGTACTTATGATGGTCTAGTGGGGTACTTATGATGGTCTAGTGGGGTACCTATGATGGTCTAGTGGGGTACTTATGATGGTCTAGTGGGGTACTTATGATGGTCTAGTGGGGTACTTATGATGGTCTAGTGGGGTCTGACTAGGTCTAGTGGGGTCTGACTATACAACATTGACTTGCTGTTACAGGCGATATGCTGTTTATGTATTAAGTTTTATGATACAGCACAGTAAACATTTGAGATTTGAGCATTGTGTTGGGCTGGAGGGAAGACCATGCATACAGTCACAGAATTACTGAAGGTGAACCTTTCACAGGTATGATTTTGTAGAAAGAAATTCCTAATGTAACATCAGTATTGCTGTCAGTGGCAATGTCAGTGATGGATGCCAAAGTGAATAAAGAGTGGGCTACATTTAATTCAATAACATGCCTGAAGAGCTCTGGTTAAAAAAGTATGACACTCATGTACACGGAACCAAAAGTTACAAACTCATTGTGGAGCAGGGACAGATTCTTCATGAATCACGATAGGCTCGTCCGGGCTGTGGTGCTCCATCTCTGTAGAGTGCTACCTGACTAGCATGTAGTGATACTGTGTTATGCAGGCAGTGACTGATGATGGTGATACTGACGCCCAGGCCCTGTCACACCACACAGCATCACAGGTAGCCCAACCCTCGACGACTGAGGCGGGGCAGGCCCCCGAGGGGGCGGAGGATATTGAACAGGTATGTACATGGGAGGAATCAGCCAAATAGTGGTCAGGCCAGAAATGAACGCTGCATGGAATTGGAGACTGTGTGTTGATCATGTTGATTTAGAAAAAAAAGTTGTGGACTCGTTGATCATTTTTTTCAACATTTGTACATCAAAAAATTTGCTGCTAACAAATGATACTGTTGATTCAGTACTGAAATGAATTCCCATTTAACACAATGCAATCAACAGTCCCTCTCATGCATTCTACTTAAAGTGAATGGGTGTGAAGGGTTTTGATAGTTTAAATCTCTGCGAATTGATACAAAATATGACAACTAATGTCCTACAGTACTTTTTGCAACTGTAACCTTTATCCACCATGACTATTGTTTGTATTTGTTCACATGCACACAATTTGTTGAATGATTGGAATAATCATCACATGAAATGATGCAGCAAGTAACTTGCATGTTGATGTGTCATGATATCTTCTGATCACGTCACTGTGGGCACTTATTTTGTTAATGTTGAATATGATCTGGAGCCTTTTCACAGCCTACCTAATTAGATTCTTAATAAGCTAAATGTTTAGGTTCGCTTTGGGCTCTGATGGTTCTCATGTAGTTAAACAGAGGCGATTATGTCATACAGTATGGTGTTCTTGCTGCAGAGGGTTTCTGCCATAATCTAGCCGTGTCCTCTTGTGTCTTCCCAGGATGAGTTTGAAGAGGGAGAGAATGCTGAGATCCTGGAGGTGACAGGAGGGCAAGAGGAAACGGCCGGCTCCATCCGATCGGTCCGCTCTGATGCTCCTGAGCTGATCCATCCAAACGACGTGGCAAAGGCACTGAGGGAGTTTGTCAACCAACACAGCAAGCCGACAAAGTATGCTGATGATGAAGCCAGCTTGATTTGGACTGTAAAAGTGTTTGGAATTTGATTGGAGCCGAAGTAATATTGTGAACGTAACTGATGATGTCCTTAGGAATGCATTCATTTGTAACTGGGGATATCTCTTTAATATATGTAAATTTGTAACTCATATGGAAGGATGGTAGCCATTGTAGTGAATGAAAGAAGTCTGGAATGAATCTAAAAACGTGAGAAAAAATTTCAGGAATTAGCAAGAGCTTTTCCTTCTGAGCCTGAGTAGCTGTCAGCTGTACACCTGAAAAAGAAGTCCGTAAATTATTCTTGTAAAATTCAGTCACAGTTTATTGAGACCATACATGTAAGCTGTCATTATTTGTATTGTGTTTCATCACCGGTTTTCATTGTTTCCTATCTCTCAATAGAGAAAAGGTCAAATTCCAGACATTCCGCATCATATCTGGGGAGGAGCGAGACGACAGGTGAGTTCTCAGACTATCAAAATGATTTGTATTGTCAATTTGCTGTTGCCGTTTAAACCTATTGCTGTGGAATGAAACTTGTGGTTTTGTTTTGAAAATTCAGTCTAGAAATTGATGCTATTGGGGGTTAACTGCAAGCATATGGCATACATTGTGTGGACCTCTAAACGAGAAGTCCACATAATATAGGCTTGGAACACATTGTGTGGACTCACACATGTGCACACAGTGTTTTTCCCTTTCTTAAACAGCTGCTTCAAAGGCATCTTGTGGTCACGATTACGAGGGGGAAACCATTTGGGAAATCATCCTCAAAAACCTAGCTTGAAGGAGTTATCACAGTGGGAGATAAAAAGGAACATTATTTTCACCGAGCTTTTGGCAGGAGAACAGAGTAATGTCCACAATAGGCATGTGAAACAAGGATGGGAGTGTTTACCTGTTTAAGCGTGACTCCATTTTTTCCCTAATTTTTGCTATCTTAGTGAGGATGCAGCTTATTGGGCTAGTTTCCCGTCAGTTCTGTCTGAGAAACAGGAGAAAGTATGGAAAGCCCTGCTGGATGGCCTGGAAAAATACAGGTATCGTTAGATCCTTTAGGATTAGGAGGACACTGAAATGACCGCCCGCGCGCACAGGGCCTGTGTGAGCCCATTTTCAAACAAACTCAAAACCAATTCACTGGTGGTTTCTAAAGGTCAGAAACCTGCCATACATCCAAATTCCATTTCTAAGCTTGCCACTTCTGTTGAAATTGCTCTGGATGGTTTTTACCCCAAAGCGTCTCCATTTTTTAACTATATTGTGCTGTCTGCAAAATCTAGCTCAACATTCACATATAAAGGCATTTTAGAGAGAAGTTTGCCTCGGCTTGTTAGTTATTAAAAGCCCTGAAAAGTTACATTTCTGCTTTGTTGTTGTTACAACCATTTGATTGGTGCACGGTTTGTGGAATACTTTTCATCTTCATGCCCTGATCACAATCCTACAGCACTTCAGTCCAGAGTATGTACACATATGTAGACAGTACGTAATCAGGTTTTAAAGGCTGTCTGTCCATGTGAATTATATCAAATTTCACAGCACTATCTTGAAGCATACATTAGTCATTCTATACAGTGTTTCCCTGTCATGCATGATGAGCAGATGAGCAGTAAAAGCACACCAAACTTTTCAGCTGATTTTGCTTCAGTTTATTACAGTCACACGGCGAAATCTCTATAAACTGGAGGCATTGCCTATTGTATTACGTCCTGTGTCACTTGTATTTAGTTCCAAAACTAACCTTGTCTTCCTGGATGACTTCCCTGTTATCTCTTTGGCCAGTGATGTTCTCAACCAGCGTGCCAAGCTGATCACCGAGACGGATTCTCTACGTCAACAGAACGCAGAGCTGCGCATGCTCCTCCACCAGTACATCAATTCGAAGGTCAACCAAGAACTGGAGATCCCTCCCACGAAAGTCCTTAACCTGGATGTCCCGCAGTAGTGAGTCAACGATGAAATATCCCCGTTCTCCTGTGGTGATGCCTACTCAAATATGATGGGATATATTTTTTCCCCTGAAATCGTCTTAAAAGCATGGGGCCAACCATCCCAGTTCCATGATTGCATTTTGCATTAAGAGACTCTCGGATCCAACTGCTGGAAAATCCTGTTCTGGAAATGTTTCATTAGGAACAGGGAACCTCACTTCAAGTGGGAACCATCCTTGTTTCGGACACGTTCTCGGCTATGCTATACGGAAAAGCCAATGTGTTGTGTTCACATAAAAACATTCCATTAAGGAATTCAAATTAGTGTTCCCAGTTTACTCCAGTCTGAACATTATGCTAGATTGAAGGTTCGCCACGAGAGACACTAAAACTTTTCAAAACTTGTGTGCACTTGGTCGTTGGCATAAGAGTTAATGGTGCACCGATCTTGTTCTAGGCCTTGGGTTTTTGCACAGGTCTAAGTGCAGTGCCTGCTGTGTCTATTGGATTATCTGGTGCCCTTGCACGGTTGTGCACAAAGCATTGAAAGAACATATTCATTGCATGTTCCAATGACACATACGTGTGGAACAGGTTCTGCTGGGGCACAATGTAAAGGTGCAAGTCAAAAAGACTACAGCCAATGTGACTTCAGGAAACATTCATTTTCCTGGGGAAAAAAACTCCAGTAGCAATATGCAAACATATTTACCTTTTGAAGCTTCCCAAACATCAATCCTTCACCCAGTATCAGTCACTATATCACTCTTTCCTGAGGGACTAGGGAGAATCTTTCTGTATTTTTTTCCAAGTCCTTGTTTGGACTGCTGTGTATGATATGTTTCACCGATAAAGAAAATCTAACCCCATCTATTTTTTTAATCTTCTAATACAAGTAATTCTAAAGATCCCTTCCTGTTTTGAAACGGTGTGTACAAATGTACATTGTATTGAAGAGTTTTGACTGAATAAAGTCTGTATGATTTGGAAAACCAGAAAACGGCTATTTCTATTCTTTTTGTTGGCTATTATAAGAGCTATGTAATGTTCATGCCTCAGGCGACTGGTTGTGGATTCTATACCACAGCAGGTACTGTTGGTGGGAAAGGATTTCCTAAACACCTTCATCAGGGTTAGACAGAGGGAGTGCCCTGCACTTTCAAATACATGTATGAGTATGGTGCCTGTCATATCAGGTGCTATGTGGATGTGTATGGACCCTACAAGCCATTTTTCGAGGGCCTGACAGGCCAGAGATTTCCAAGTTTTTGTGATAATCACAAAAATGTGGGACACATTACTCAAGGATTTCTTGAAAAATCTCGGTGAGTACTGGATTTGAACTCTGTTCCCCAAATATTGATATTCTATCAACAGTTAGTTTTCACATTTAAATTAATGAAAAAAATGTAAGACACAAAACCAACTACATGTATTAACAACACTGCGCATGTTAAGCTTTATTGTGCATTGTTATACGTACTGCAAAGTAATATGCATTTGCAAGATATTTTTTGTTGTCTCTTTTTCCTGCAGCAAGTAATTTAAAATACAAAGCGAGCACAATGTAAGGCCACATGAACAAAGTCACACCTCAAGCAAAATCAAATTTACACGTAACTCGTCCATAGGACTGCATTTGCCGAACAAAACAGCATGTTTGGCTTGAACCAGCATTAACCCTTACATACATGTATGGTCATATTACAGAGTTCACCAAATGGTTAAACAGAATTACACATAAATACATGGAGACACAAACACACTTTACATGTACTTTTTTTTTGCTGTTATAACAGAAAATAAAGGCATTTTTGGAGAGAAAAACAAAATCTATATGATTACTTCTTTTCAACAATTTTATTATCTTTATGACTGGTTCAGACGTAGTCCTGACTTTCAATGTTCGGAGAATAAAAACGGTCATCATATCCAGTCACTTTTCTAAAGAATAAACTGCCAATATAAGGCAAGATTCCTCCGACCATTCGTCTTCCAATCCTTCCCCGAGGAAACAAAATTTCAAGGTTTACGACAGAATGCTGCAACACAAAACGCTGTGTTACACTATCAAAGGTTGTATACTATCATACACAGTACTGTCATTGACTCCACTGGATACATACATGTACATTTACACTCAAAACTGTACACATTTATAGGAGCTAAACAATTTCTACAAGTAACCACAGGTATACAGTCTGTATTAATCTTTGAAGCACTGCTTCCAAAAGATGTAACTTCCAGAACAAAATGAACTGATATGTGAAGCTTTCTTCTAGCATTAAAATAAATTGTCTAATCTGCTTTACTCAACCAACCAAAGATTACTTCAACATTAAATATATGTAAAATCCCACTTTTGAGTCCCAGAGGATTTCACAGCATAATTCTAGACAACAATAAGTTTCACAGTGGGCAAATGGCAGGGAGGTTGGCATACATGTACAGGTACATGAGCACATAGTTGCTGAACACGTGGCAATGTGTCCCACATACATGTATGAAACTTTAAACAGAATTTATGAACATGTACGTACATGTACATTAACTTTATTGTACCTTAAAAGTATTCATATTTTCCGAGACACGTACATGTCACCCGCTTCAGTCAACTGATTATTGGCAGTGCATAATGTACTACATACCATACATGTGTACATGTACACGGTACATGTATACTGAAACTCAATTGCTAGCCAGACGTTTTCTTTTTTCCTATGTTAAGGGCTGGGTGAAATCCATTTATGGGGTGCTGCAAAAACAAACTTACAAGTAGAACTGACAGGCCTATTGTTAACATGTTTTCATCATGTTCATATCTATATCCATAATGCAGTGGAGTTTAATATGCACAAGCATTCTTGCCAGAAAGTGAAAACACATAACTTCCCTCCAAGCAAAACAATACACAGTACATGTATACATGTAAATGTACTGGTTACTGATAATTTACAAAGCTTTCTTGATGTAATATGGGAAAGTATGTACAAATAACTCATCTGCTCACTCATTTTCTGAGCGTTATACCACATACATGTACATGTAGGTACAGGTACCATACATGCATGTTTCAACATGTTCAAAGGCTGCTGGTCCATGGAGTAAGAAATTACTGTAATGCGCAAAAGTTACTGGTGACAAATCTTCAACTGGGAATACAAACCTACTCAACTCATTCAACGCAATGCATACATGTACATTACATGTACATATACATGTACGTACCAGTAAGACACACAGTTCTTGCAAACTTGTTCACACACATGTACACATACATGTATAACAGGTGTGCAAAAAGCACAACCCGTTTTCCACTGAATGTGCACAACCTGCATTGCATCTTCAAATGCTAAATACACTGTACACTTACTGGTATTCTATATGGGTGTACATGTGTGATGGACATGTGTAACACCCACATATCATTCAACAGCAGTAATGTTTGACAAAACATTTAACGCGCAAGTGCACAAGGGTCACTTCTCCTCCTTGGGTCACAGCTTTGATACAGAATTCCACACATTTCCATATCTCTGCAAATTTGGAAATATGACTACATAAAAAAACTAAACAAAAGTTGTAACTGTATGCGTGATGTTACCTGTGGCAAAATAATGAGAAATATTTTTACATGGAAACTAAATCCTTCGGAAAATTCATTTTGAAAAATGCTTTTACGTGTACTTGAAATGTTGCAACAAAATGTGAAGTGAATTTTACGGTATTTGTGCATTGAGCAAACGTGAATTTCAAATTAAACTATAAGCACGTAACAAGGTAAAATTTGAACCTTTAAACCCCTCTGTACAGATACGTGCTGCAATGCAGTCTAATGTAATAGTTGTGCAACAGTGGAAAAAAGTACTTTTTATATGAGTTGTTCCAAATATAAAGAAATAATTGCAAACAATGAACACATGATTGGTATGAACTAGAGTTGCTACATACATGTATAAGGTCAATGTAAGAATATGCCCAGTGGTTCATACACACAATGGCCTTAAGTGCAGAACAGTAATTTACAGTACTCCTAAGCATTGGTGTGTCACGACAGTTGTATCCAAGGCATGAATATGTACACCATACTGGTGTGCAATACAACCACAGGTGGACATTATCGACAAAACGAAATCCAAAACTTAGAAGGAAAGGATTTCCAGATTTTCAAAATTAAGCAAGAAATCATGTTCATTCCAGACACAGAGTAAATCTGGGCTTATAGCAAGTGTTTGGTATAAAGTGTTTAATTATGCAGATCTCTAATGTCGAAGTTTTACAAGTAAATCAGCAACTGAGCTAGTACCTCTAGCGCATACAAACAGCAGTGAATGCAATATTCTTCCTTTGCAAGGTTTTGACAAACAATGGCTCTAAGAAAGAACAAATAATAGGACTGAGTGCTTTCTCGTCAATTCAAAGATCAGTTGATCTCACCCCCTTGTTGGTGAGAGCAGGCATGCTTGCAGGGGCCTCCAGTAAAATGGGGCGGGGACTCTTGTCTCCCTCCAAAGCTGCCAGATGCGAGTGGGGGCGGTCCACCTCAACCTCTGTCAGAGAAATTGGTGTCTGGCTTTCCCCAATTTGAAGTCGATGGGCAGAGGATGAAGACGAGGACTCACAGATTTCTGAGGTCCCGTTCTTGACACTATCCCCGGTCCCACTTCTGCCACTGTCGGCGATCCCACTTCTTCCACCGCTGCTGTGGCCCTTCCACCTGAAGTCAGAGCTCTGGGACGCAGAAGTCGAGACAGCACCTTCGACGTTTGATGAAGAACTGCACTCGGATGTGCACTCACTGTCAGCGAGCACGGCGCTGAGCTCCGAGTTAATGGAGTCGTTGATGCTGACGTTGTCATGGCTACAGGATGACGAGGAAGGTGCCTCCGTTATGCGGTCACTGATCTTGACGCTGTTCTTCTTGCCGCTGCGGTTGCTACGGCTCTTGCTGCTCTTGGTCTTGCGCATGGCACTGGTCGGGTTAGCTCCAGCAGAGCCGCTGACACTGCTCTTCAGTTCCCAGACGTCTTCAGTGGGCGGGGCAGAGCGGCGATCCTCTCTCTGGCACGCTGCTGCCCCTAAACCATGACAGCCACTGGAAGAGTGGGCCAGGTGGCTGTTCTCTGTACTGCTGCAACTCCCATTGCTTAGTCTGGTTTTGTAAGCCCGTTTCTCAATGTCCACTTGCACCTCCAATGGGTCCCTCCTCAGAGGTGTATTGTTATTTTCTGTTAACCAACAGAGGGGGTACAGTTAATTATCTACCATTAAAGGGTCAGCACATACCTTTAAATAAAGGATGGAAGAAAGTGAAAGTAAGATCTTGGCTAGCTATCAGTAATCTCAACAGTACCCCCAATCTGTTAACCACTTCCTGCCGGGTGGGGGTTTGCGCACATGCAGGACGAGTTGTCGTGTGATTTTTCATGATTTTCAGTTTTCAAAATTGTTCAAAAATTCATAACTTCATTTACTGGACGCTTACACCCACATGAATGATTGTCTGGTGGCTACTCTTATCTCACAGGCCACCTCCATTGACACCCGGGTATGGCAGCCAGGCCTGCCACCTTGTAAAGAGAGCCCACAGTTGTGCAGTGTTGCATATTTGTTCCCGAAATTTGCCCAGGGTGTTGTTGAATGGTAGTGGTGTCTTTACAAATGCGGTCAGATTAGCATGCAGTGGTATTGTATTGCTCATCCCTGGAGTGCTGGCGCACTTTTGTCCCCGCTGATAATCTCCGAGCGCTGAATGCCGCAAACAGAGGGTATACTGTTTCAAAACAATGACAGATTGCCTCCAAAAATGCAGGCACTCTGTGCTCAAAATTTTTGGCAATTCCCAGCAGCTCAGTCTTTTGTTCCGAGCTTGGTCTTTTGTTACAAGGCCCAGTTCCTTCTGTCCAATTTTGGGCACCCGGCCATGCATATACGGCCAGTGGCTCTGGTACTGGGCTCCCCGGCGCTGAGTGGTTAAGCCCCTTTTGTTTAGCTCTGGACGTTCTGGCACCAAGCCATTGATACATCTCAATGACTTCAAAGTTTTGGATCATACAGGTCTCAGTACCAGGTGAGCTGCAGCTGAAAAATGAGTGGGCTCTGAACCGGCCCAGGTTTGGGGGGGTGCCCTTTTACAACCAGGGTCTAACTAGTCACAGTTCCTGAACACACTTCTTAACAGCTGCATGAAAGACGCCCCAGATGGTGATCTATGCACTTACCTCTGTCCGCCTGCAGGGTACCAGTGGTAGCCTGTGCAATGCAGTTATCACACAGATTGATGGAGGCAGTCTCACTGCTGTGACTGGGTGTCTGATTACTGTTCACCACTTCAGCGTGGACGTCCAATCTACAACCAAGGCAGAGAACAATTTCACAAAAATGACCACAAAATATTTTCTCTTGAACTCACCACCAAGTTGTCAAACACTGCCATTTACCAACTGGGGCCTGGTTTTTAAACAACTAAGCAGAGGTGACTGCTTAAAAAGTTTCTGAGTTGAGCAAAGTCCAACTAAGAACCAGGCAATGTCCAAACTTCAGCTTGAATTTCCACCAAATTCTATGATGGTGGCTCTAGCCACTTCCCACAGAGTCATGCGTAAGTTCAAGCCGAAGACGAGTGATTCGGGCACTGACATCATCATCACAAACACAGACTTACCAGTCTGTTTGGCTGATAATTTGTTTTGCGAGCAAGTGTTTTCCCGGCTTGCCAAATTTTTGAGCTTGGCGACTCTTCGGAAACAGGCCTATGAGCTCACATTCTGCTTATGTGTGCTTTCTTATTCTTACGGAAGCCAGGTGGAGATGATGGATTTGAAGCTCCATCGGAATGAATGCATGCACAAAAGTATGATGTCATCAGTACATGGACCCCTTGGTCCAAGAGTGTACCTACGTAACGATTTATAAGCTGCTAGCTGCTTACCGGTTGGAGTGAAGTACCAGCGGCCCGACCCCACCACTCCCTGACAGGCTACCGGTCAGACTGGCCCCTGCGATGGCCCGTGTGCTGGCGTTGTCACTGACTGTATCATCACCGATCACGCCAGCCACTTCCAGGTGACTGTAGCTCTCGCGGTTCATGGAGGCTTCGCCAATGCTGGCATTCACTACGGCACTGTTGACATCGGGATTGGTATCTGTCAAACGGAAAAAGTACAGAGTACAGAGATGAATTTATTTCTATGCTCTTCTCATGGGGAAAATTCTCAATCGTAAACTGTTTGAACAACTTAGACAAGTCACATTTTTGATGAACACAGTAACATCCAATCATGTACATGTACATGCACACATATGTAAATTAATCCAATACATGAAACAGGCATGTACATGTGCATTGTACAGTATACATGGTACATACATGTACATGTATATAGTCATGTACCGATACCATGTTCAACCTGTTATACTTTGTAAGTTTATATGCTCAGCATACCGGTACAGTGGAACGCCGCTATAACGAACACGACAGGGTCCATGCTAAATGTTTGGTACAGCGGTCATTCGGTATAGCAAAATTAACTGCTGAACGTTTCGTTGCCATGTTGCCATAGCGCCCTCTCTTGTCTAACTGAAGTGCACCCTCTTGTGATACTATGATTTGCTGTTTTCATGATGCTTTGCCGTTGCATCCACGTTTGAGGTTTCTAGAGATGTGTCTGTTAATTATTCTTGTTTTTTCATGAAATCTTGAGTTACAAAATTGATATTTAGTTTATCCTAAAAGTCGTGAAGCTACCGCTCCGGATCCATCTCTGATGCATGCTATGGCAAGTCTCGGTTGATTTGCAACTGCATAGTGTTCGGTAGGTTTTGTGCACAAAATATTGGGAGCCAAGGACGATGTTCAGTAAAGCCGAATGTTCGGTATAGCGGTGTTCGGTGTAGCGACGTTCCACTGTACATGTAAATCAGCGGGCAACCAGTCACAAACCACATACATGTACTTGTACGTCATATGCGTTTCCACTGGTATTCTTTTCATTTTTGCAAAGCAAATTGCTCAGCAGCTGCATGTACCAGAAGACTGCAGCAACTACATGTACTAGTATTCGTCCAGCAAGCTTTTGTCAATAAATTTACTGCCTGTAATAGTGCATACATGAATTCACTAATCATCGGCGTACTGTTCACTTGACACTATTTGAAATAAAGTTTTTATTATTTCATGACTACTTTGGGGAGTCAGGTTACTCCAACTTTGGTAGCTGTACTTTTTCCTTCAGTTTGTACACTGTATTTAACGATCCTATGCAAAGACATATTCTTAACACAGTTGTCCTATCCGTCAAAACCAGTCAAATTTCCCATGTGTGTCTGTGTACTGGGGGAAATCAAGTGGAAGGATTTTTTTTTTACTGTTTTTGACAGTTACAGCAAAAGGAGGGTTTTTGATAATGTTCATGACAACTATATGGTCAGATGAACTGTATATCACAAATGAAATATTAATTGGTTCTGTGGTGGAAGCAGGTGGTCTCTGTGCTATCAAGGACAAAATCTGACTGATTAATTATTGTGCAGGCAAAAGAATATCGCTTAATGAACGTCCAACGCACATCAGGATGGATATTTTAACCTTGTTTTGGATCATTTATGCTCTTTGTTTCACACATTGGGAATGACAAATTGTTGACTTCTGTGGAATGGAACATGGCTTTTTTAAATCATAAGGATGACACCTGAAGTGTAGTCCAGGGTGTTATACATTCAAGACAAGTGAATAAGCTTGTGACATCACAGAAGTTGACAATTGTTTGGTTATACTGGTGCAATAGGCTAAGAAGGTTCAAGCTTACTCTGCAAGACAAAAATTAAGTCACGACATTGTTGGTTTTAGTTCACAATGTCATGACTGCGAGATATCATTCTACTCCAAACATCTAGACATCGCAGAGATGTCCTGTCACATTGCGCAGTGCACTGCAGAAATCTGATACACTAGGCTGTGCCGAGGAACTGTGCACAAGACCACTTTATGCTCGATACACTTTTTTGTTTGTTTTGCTTTCGTTTCTTTCATCCCTAACCCCCAAGGGTGTACGTAAAATCATATCAAAATTGGAGGATTTGGGACTGTTAGGGTTAATATGTAACATGCACTCATCCAGGAATTGGATCGAGGTACCATACCGTACATGTACACTAGTATTATCCCACCTCACTGCACCCATAAAGATTCCTACATGTATACAACAATCTCAGCTCATCAAACCCAACCACCATCTCTGCCCTCACAGGTACCCAGTTATACTCCTACAGTAGGTGGACAATGACCAGTAGGAGTAAAGTGAGTGGCCCAAGGTCATAGCATGCAACCAGCAGCTAGCCCTATACATGTAAGCCTATATGTATATTGGCAAGTCGCAAGCCCTAACCACCAGATGACACACAATCTCTTGCCTTAAATGTATTTACCTGACACATTGCCGGGTGTTATGGCACCCACGTCATTATCGTCTTCAAAGTCGATGCGCACCCCTCCTCGATCACTGGTGGTGACCCCACAGCCCCCACTGCGACATAGGGACACAGGGACCACACCGTAGACATAGGCTAGGAGGATGGGTACACCGATGCCTGATGAGACAACAAATCAAAGATGAGACAGATTTAAAAATTATAACCCAACCTACATGTAGCAAAACGAATGCCAAGTCACCATAGAGGCTACATATGTGGAGTCAAAGGCCAAATATTACAATCTTATACATATACATGTACCGGTACATGTTATGCAAATCTAGAGGTCCCCTAAATATGTTACTGATACACATAAGCCCTTTTTGATACATGTACTATAAACATGTACATTTATGTACTTCAATTGCTGACATTTAACCCTAAAAAAAGTAAAACCAAATCAACTGAGTTCTTTCGGATACGCACATGGATGTCATTAAAAACTCCAAGTAGAGCATTTTGACACTCAACTGTGCAGTGCCCAGCAAACTTTACACAATCTGAAATCACTTGTGCATTTTGACACTCAACAGTGCAGTGCCCAGCAAACCTTACACAACCTGAAATCACTTGTGCAAATGTAGTTGAAAACTGACCCCCAAAACATCTGATAGGAAAGGAAACCTAATAACCATCTCATTAACAGCGTTGAAAATAATTTCTGTTGCCATGGTAGCTAAGTTAATTCAAAATTGGTTCGGTAATGCACAATGTACATATATGCAGACAAAACAAGCCAAGAACCACTGTGGCTCAATGTACAACTGTGCATTGTAACTCAGCTTCAAGCTTCTCAATGGCTAGAAAATTTATCCGCACGTTAACGCACATGTGTGCATTTCATTTTGCTGCATTTTCACCATACAATGCAGATAACTACATGTACCGGTATGTGTAATTTTCTAAATTAGGGGTGCAATTTTTTGGTGTCCCTGTCACATCTTACAGTACATGTGATTTTTGTAAGTTCAAAACACATTTTCTTATTTATGAACTACATGTAATGCAAATTACCCGCCAAACAAATAGTAATAGTTTGAAATCAATTCAGGTGATTTTTCCGTGTCAAATAACAAGGGTCAGATTTAACAGAGACACAAAAATGTCACACTTTAGGACCCCAAATTTACAGAATGGCCCACACCTAGTACTTCCTCACTCTTCTTCTCCAGCAGAAATACTATACAATCTTTAGTAGCTGTACTCTTACATGTACATGCATACCAAGTCTACTGCATAGGACTTTAGCCACTGACATTTTGGCTGTAACACTGTTCTGTTGATAACCAGCAATAAGTGATCCATTAGGGCACCCTTTTTATACTTTATGGTTCTCATTTCTACCGATCCTATTTTGGGCTCCCGATCATTGAAAAAAACTTTTTTCCCCACTGACCTTGCTAAAAAGACCTAAACCCCCCAAAAAAACAGAAGGAAAAAAAATGGCCAGCATGACCTTTGAAAACAAAACCCCTGAAAACTTACAATTTCGCAAATGACCAACAGCAATGGTCGGCAGTTCGCGTGAACATTCAGTGTACCGCACCTTTCCGTGGCCCATTGAGGTTCGTGCATAGCCCTACACCAGCAACATGGAATTTTTATTTTAAGGTGTTTTTTTTTGACTGACCGACCTTATCTCAAGGGGTAAAAGAAATGAGAACCATAGAATTTAATAAGGGCCCCCTTATACATGTACAGTACATCATGAGCTCATACATGTACCAACTTGCATTGTAACTTCCAACATTATCTCCTAGTCAGACTTACCCACTGTAAGTGCTGCTATGACCGGAGACACAAGGACCGACATAGTAACACTGCCTGCGATGGCCAGGTTGCGGCGATGACGTGACACATTAGAGTACTTTCCATGAACCTGTGGTCAAGGAAACAACATCCAGACTGGAATGTGACCAAACAATTCAAACTTTTGGGATACTGATGATACTGTTTATTATCAGTGATTTTTTTCAGCGTATATCAGCTTTGGAAAAAAAAAGCCAAATATTGTTGTGTTTTTCCCTAAACTTCACTGATTTCCATCAACTGAGAACATCTACATGTACATGTACCAGTGCCTGTAAACTCATTTTGCTGCAAATGTACTGATACCCGGTACCAATATGTAAAGTACCAAAACCTAACACTGGATCTCATTTATAATGTTCATGTATACGCGTATGTATGGCTCACGAGGATTCTATAAACATTACACATGTAAGGCCTAACACTTAAACAAGCCTTAACAGAAAATACATGTATATGACTAAAAGGGAAATAAAATGGCACTGGTGCCATTATCTTATATCCATGGTACAACATTTGACCCCAACGACACTGAACCAGTGATTACCGGTTCCAGTACAACAGTACGTTCATGTACATGTACATTGTACCGGTATATACCGGTACATACAACCTTTACTGCTGCTTTACCATTTGGTGTAGAATATTGAACAATAGATATTTATTTTTCCGCAAACCAGTAAGTCACTGATTAAACATTTGAGCCTATTTTGTATTACACTGTATGAGTCACATGTACCGGTAAATTACGGTTGAATTCAGAACAGAATTGAGAAAGCCATCATGATAATCATCACTATTTAAGGATACTTGTACCATACCTACCGGTACCCAACTTAGACGTTTGTTACGTAAAACATCCCAACCCGGTATTTCCGCAGCGTATCATGCCAATGGACAGTTTTCATGCAGGTTTACACTGCAGGCATTGAATGGTTAACAATTTTTGAGGAATGAGACTCATAGACATTTTGATCAATCTGCTTGCCCTGAAGAAGGTACTCCGTTACCGAAAGCTGGGCAATCACATATTTCAGAGCACTGATTTGATATTATATTCTCGTCAATATTCCGATCACGGTGCTACGCAGCCCTTCCATATTTCTCTGATCTGTCTCTTTCAGGTAGTACAGTAGCTGGTAAAAGCCATTTTTAAATGCACATTATTTACAGTATCGAGGAGATTTTAATCAGGCACAATTCATGGGTGATCTACAATACTTGTATCGTCACATCAGCAATATCATTGGGGAGACAGAAAACCTACTAAATGTAAAACAATCAGCGACACCAGCACTGGTTAGTACACTTCCTGGGGTGTGGCAATCCCAGTAAAATGCACACATGTACATGTACATACATGTACTGGTATACATATACATGTACAGTATATGTACATGTGTGTACATGTACCGGTACATGTATATGTACAGTTAAATAACAAAGTGGCAGGGATCAGACAAATTACTTTGTGATAACAAGGACTTTGTTATAAAGGGAGTGGAAATACAAAGAAAAACATAAGAATTCAAGAAATTGGGATTCTTGAAATCTATTCTTTATAACAGTATTTTGTTATAACAACATGTTACAACGAGAGTTGACTGTACAGGTACATGGTACGATACTTCATACAGTTTATGCATGCAATGTCACTAAAAAATTAGCAGTTTTTATTTTGTACAGTTAGTAACCGTTTAAGGGTTTACATGTAACTGCATATTTTATTGTATAAAAACAATCTAGCAACAGCTAAATCAAAGATTCATGTACACAAGTATAATTTATCCGAATGGAACTGACAATGGCCACTTAATCAGATCTGTATTTGTTCAGTTGTGTCTGAAAACAGAACAGGTCAATCAGAAAAAGTACCTCAAAATGACTGACAAGTGCATGCACCAACTCATTTGCATTGCCAAGATGGTACGGGCAAATTGCTCCGGATTTGCTCCAATCTTAAAGCAATGCCGATCTTGAAATTGCCCTGGACTAGCCAGCTTGTCTCATCGGCCATATGGGTTTCCCATACTGAATGGTGCTTCAAGAAGCAGACACTGGAATCAAAGACATCAGGGTGACGACCACATAAACCCATGTTAAAGGGTCTGATGCACATCCATATGTATGCAAAAACACACATATACATGTACAATGTACATGCCTATACATACAGTACTCATAAATATGGGTAGGCCTTCAGCGCATTAAGGGGCAAATTTCTTTTGTTTTGAGCAACGTTGCAGGGCCATTTCTCTGTCCAAAACTTGTCGGCCCCCATAAAATGTAACGACAAGAGTATGTCCCCACAACTACCGGTACAGAACAAGTCCATGTACTGGTAAATGTGCACAAGTATATTGTACACACATGAACGTGGACGCACACACGTACATGTACATGCTCCGTGGTTCTGGGAACAAACACATGACACTTCACTCATTTTGTGTGGACCAAAAACATTATGTGGACAGAGAAATGTCCCCACAACTCCGTCCTAATTTGCCAAACAAAAGACACTGTGCCCTTATCCCAGTGAAGGCCTACCCATCATGTTTATAGTGTACATACAAACATGTTTACTGTAAAGACCACAAACAAAGTACTGCTCCTACTTTTTTGTAATGTACATGTCACATTAACTTGGTCCACATTTTTCCAACAATCCTAATCTTTACAACATTGTGAAAATTCTGACAAGGCGTGTTAAACAGTGTTCAAACAAAAAATCTGTTGAAAAACATGTAGACATTCACTTGGCGCATCTAGAGAACGGGCCAAAAAACAAAATCCTACATAAAAATTTAGGTGTGAGAATTATGACATGTACTAAATTAAAAAAGAATGGTAAGCTCTTGGCCATTACTGAAAAGGAGGGGACCCTGCAGGAGGTTTTTTTTTTTACAATTTCCAATTTTAGCAGCTTCTCGGGGTTGTACTGATATATAATTAGTGGTTTTCAAAGTGAGTCAACACTACTTAACTACCGGTAGCATCCAAGTGTCAACCGCAAGGACTAAAATACATGTATGCCAATCAAAATCAAATCCTGTGTTTTCTCTCAAAATATTACCCTCTCTTTAAGAGATTTGAAGGTGCACTCTGATTTCTGGCCAAACCACTGCAATAACAGTATCGAGTGGCTCGGTATTCATACGCACGTACACCTACACAAAAATGACAGTTCCTCTTCAATTTGTCCAAGGAAAGGCAATGAGGCAAATAAAAAAGAAAGAAAGGCGGAATCCAATATAGAGTCTCTACAGATTCTGCGTAACTTGACACCGGGGGGAGGGGTGTGGTGTAGCACTGTGTGGTAATAAATAGGTCACCTACGCATTGTGCACACAAAAAAATATCCCTTGACATACAGCTCTATACTGAGCGGGTTTCAGCGACAGGTTTTGCACTTGGCATATTCTTGCCATTTCTCCATCCGTTGCAGCCCCATCTCTAGTTACAGACAAAGATCTCTCTTCTATCTCTGTCTTTTTCCATTCTTGACTCCCCCCTCTTCCCTATGCTGATTCTTTCCTTGAAACACTTCTGCATGCACAGTTGGCTAATATTTGTGCAGGGAACTTGTGTCGGTACCCCATGAGGCTACATCCACCAGCAGGCGTACGCCGGGTTGCTTGAGACGAAACTGGAGACACAGGAAGGACGACATCAATTTTCCGTGTTAGGTTTGCAATTCTGTCCCACATACATGTACAGTAGAAAAACGTGATTCCCAGACTGCCACACAGCCTCTAACAGACAAAGGAACAGACATGTACATGTACGTGTACATGTACATGTATGGAACAGCCATGTATCGGCACATGTACAAGTACTGTATATTGTACCGGCATGCCACATACCGGTATCCTGGAAGATGATGTACATGTATAGGTGCATGTTTACAGATGATGTGGTACATGTACAGTTTCTTACCTGTCATACATGTCATACTGGTATGCCTGTGCATACAATACTTACATGTACATGTACATGTGTACATCCACGTACATGTACAATGTACTACTGTACCAATGCATGTAACGTACATGTACATGAATACATGTACACGAATGTATACATGTACCAGTGCATATACATATATGTATCCACATTTCTGGGTACAAACGTGCAGAACTTGGTGACTCTGTACCAATGTACATACATGTAAACTGGTACTTGTACATGTACACTGATCCCAAAGTTGGATATGACTCCCCTTTCCTGCTGTAAAGATTGCTGATCTATATGGTATTTGTAAATGTGGTAATAAGTCAACTTTTGCAAGTCCTAGTCAAGTCACAAGTCAATTATTGCAAGGCTAAGTCAAGTCCCAAGTCAATTATTGCAAGGCTAAGTCAAGTCACAAGTCAATTATTACAAGGCTAAGTCAAGTCACAAGTCATTTGGTCACATATTGTCGCATACGGTCACAATGTACATGTACATACATGTACATGTATATGTACATGTATGATGTATCCACTCGCCTTATACCACGAATCTGGCCCCAAACCTGGAATTTCGCAGGAGAAATGCTCAACAAATATTTGACTGTGGGTAAATGTTATAAAACTATTCTATTAGCGTGTCTTGAAGGCATATTAAAACCACCTAAACGTGGTACATGTATTTGACGAAAAATTTTTGGCCTTGGACATCCAGGCGCTACTTTTGTTTTCAATTCTAGGACAAGTGGCATCATGAACTGACATACCGGTAAGTAATTCAATACTAGGCTCAAACGAAGCTTAAGTTAGGGAAAACTATGAAAAACCCTAAGCACGGCCGAACAAATATGACTACAGCAGCTAAGCGATCCTGACGTGGCCTTAGGCAGACAAAAACCAAAGTACCGGTAGAAGTTGCGATCCAAACAAAGTCTTACAATGATTAGTTTAAGAACGCAAAGCGTAAGTTGATAGGCCCATATTTAAACTGTAATGAGTTCAATTGAATAGTTTCTGCCTTGCCTTGGTAATAAGTCATAATGTGCAAGTCCAAGTCAAGTCAACAACTGATAGTTACTCGCACAAGTCAAGTCTGGAGTCACAAAAATAGTATATTAGTAGTAATATACATGTAGTATGATATACATGTACAATGTATGTACGTGTAAAAAACCTGGCACTTACAAGTACATATATCCATTTCATACTTTCATCGCAAACTGTACACATTTCAGGGGAAATGAATCAATGACTGAAAGACAAAAGTACGTCATTCGTCTGTTCATTACTTGGACCAAGGCTCATTTTCAGTCAGTAACATTTCTGTCATTCATTACCTTGATTACAAAATATACGTACGTACTGAGTAACTATGGCAACGGCAGCATTTACATCATGTACCATGTACCAAGGAATTTGCTGAGGCTACTACTATTGTCTAAGCAAAAGTTCACCTTGTGCTTGTGAAACAAGATTGTCTCTGAAACCCTGACAGAAAATAATGAAGCTGGAAATGGTAAGTGATGACGTCACAAATAACAAACTTTAAATTGAACCCTGTTCACATGGTCAATATCATCAAAATTATCAGACTGCTACATTGAACTACCACATAAAGGCACATGTACATCTACATGACACACTGTTTGCATTTCGCTGCGTATCTGTGAAGAAACAATCAGTAATATCCTGAGATAAAAATCATGTCGTGTACATTCTGTGTAAAGGTTTGAAACCTGTAGATACACATACATTGAACAATGCCAGATCTGGACTGCATGAAAATGACACACAGGTGCAAGTACAAAGTACACTCTGGAAATTATGTGCACAATTATAATACACATATATACATTGTAGTAAACATGCATGTGTCCATGTACATGTATATCAGTACAGTGTATCAATACGGTACATGTATGTACATGTATTCCCTAATGCTCAGCCACCCATGTACATGTATGTTTCCCGAGGGAAATTATCAACTGCGCATGTCCCATTTTTAGGGTCATTTGCATGCGTAATGAGGGCCATGAGAATTCGTGCCAGGCAAGCAGATGCTTCATTTGAAATCTACGTCTAATTTTCACTTTTTGGAAATAAAAATTCCTGCCAAAAATATTTTCATGGTAGGATATAGCCTTTTCTTAACGTGTTTTGTGAAAATAAAATTGAGAAATAGTACCAGAGTGGTCAAAATTAGTGACTTTTGTGAAAAGCTCTTTTCTTAAGCGGTAGTTTGTTTACGTTTTGATGTGATTTTTGAAGGCTCAAAACAAAGAATTCAAAGTTTTCCTCAAGTTTTCAAAAGTGGGCTGTGATGGAGAAAGGTGTAAAGGTTTGACATTTGCTGACAGTTTTTCGCTAGATTTTTTTCTCTTTCCGACCAGACGCATTTGCATTTTGACCTAACTCGGCACTAATTCCGTTCATCCCGCATAATCTTACGACCTTGCGAGCGTAAGAATTCAGGGACTCGGGAAAGAAAGATGAACACAAAAGTAGAGTAAGATAACAATTTATTATTAAAACCAACATCTGTCATCATAAATTACCAGGAAATGTTGAAATTAACGGTATACACACTGTATCCCCAGTTTTACATGTACTCTACATGCATGAATAACATGAACATGTACACCGGCTCAGACGAGAATTTCAATGTACATGTACATGTAAGCCACGGTAGGTGTGTAACCATGGTAACAGGCCGCAGTGTACCGTGCACGGTACCGTATGTGGCTGGATCGGTTTTGTGTATGTACATGTAAAACTTGTACAGATCCTGCTGCCCGGTGGTATCAAATATAACTCATGAAAGTTGAACAAAAAAAATCTAGCTACATGTACATGGAACTGATAGTATTGTGTAGTTGAGATTCTGTTCTGGCCTGTCATATGCAGTGTCTCACTGTTCTGGGAAAACTTCTAAAAAAGAGAAATGTAGTGGGGAAAAAAACCAAAAGATTGATCGAAAAAGGACATAATTTATCATCTTAGAAACCATTTTGAGGCAAAATTTCATCTTTATGTAGTACATGTATTTCTCTTCGTGAGTCTGTAGTGCTTTATTCGGTTAAAGCCTTCTAGAGCACGTACAAAGAGTTTCAATGTGATCGTTTGTTAACTTTGTGCAAACGAAGTCTTCAACACGACAAGGCTCAACAGAGGATTGGCAAATTGCTAATGACAATTCCGTAAGGTTCATGAGGGTCCGGTGAAGTAACCGCTGCGCACGGTCAACGTCATTAATTTCCACACATCGAATGAGGGTGAAACATACGTGCACAATAAGCACATGTACATGTATATATGTAAATGAAACTCAACAGAGAAAAGGAGAACTTTGCATTTACACAAGGCAAATGTACATGACATGAAACAAACTGTTTATGTGAGCGATCCATGAACAAATGTTTGTATACTGTACTTGGTTCCATAGCAACAGAAGCCCAACGTGTTGCATGATACATGTACATTGTCCCATATGTGTACGGTACAACTGACCGGAGTCAAGAGGAGATTCACTCCAACATCCCCCCCCGACATTCCAAATTTTCAACATTTTTTCCCTAAAACACAGAACAAAATCTACCACCACAGCACATACTTTCATTCTACATTGTACGTGAGGGACAACGGAGATTGTCTGACAGTGATTAGTAGTTTGGAAGACCAAATTTCATTGCGGGGACTGTCAGAAGTCCTCACGATGTGATCCAAATTTGCCTGTTAACCATCATCCCCACAATGTGGTACTGCATGACCACATCACAATGGTACATGTACTGTCCCTTGTATATTTCTGGGTGAATCCTGACTTGTAAGTACGCACAAGTTGTAACAGTGAAGACAGTTATTCCCCCATAATACACAACCTTGGCTTGGTGCTGCTTTTTCACATACAAGCCTTAGCAATGTCAACAAAGTTTGTCCAAGCCCTTATGTGTAGCCGCAATGCAGATTAAAGGGTTTTGGATAACCAAGCTGTGGGGTGCATTTGGTGAAAAAATTCCTGGTACGCCTGCCACGTATCTCAGGTTGAAGTACTTGCATTTAATCTTATCTGACTGACAACTCTGTGGAAGTTCTGTACAAATCACCAACGCAAATATATTGAACAGCTAAGCATACTTGGGGGGGGCCTTCTTCCTTCTTTCATTTTCTGCACACATGCAGGAACAGTGTGTGTGCTAAGTTATCACTGTGACCTTTGGTCTTACTTGGATGCTGTGTGCAAATGGCACAGCAAACAATCAGGGCAGACCCTAGCTCTGATCCATAATTTGATGGAGTATGCTATAATTACAGAAGGTGCCTCATTTTACTCCCTCCCAATAAAGTATTTTGTATGAGGAGCAAGGAGCTTCGTGTACACGTATCTTTTGCAGCATGTTTTCATTTCCAGTACATTTATTACATGGTTTTCACAAAGTGTCCAGACACATCTGGTAATGATATATCGGTTAACTCCATGCGCTCAAAGGAAACAGCTCACAACCGGTCAAATAGACCTCAGTACTAATGACACCACACCTGTGTGCTTTCCTATGGTGCTCAGAGGACCACAGGCCCCCACTGGCTCCATTAGGAAAGCGCACATGTACATGTAGACTAAACAAAGTGTGATGTCATCAGTACATCAATGTAGGCCTATTACAAACGACAAAATACAAACCTTCCTCCCCACATAGACTGGTATCCCGATGATAATGGCTGGGATGGCTATTCCAGCAATCAGTGCTATTCCAACTGGTGCCCCGACCAGCGTGCCCAGCTGCCATAGGATCTTCTTCTTGCGGCTCCAAGGCTTCTTGCCCCAGAAGGTGCAGCCAGAGGGGCTGAGGACAAAAGGGGAACAGCCAAATAAAATGTGAACGTGAATTGTACGATGTATGTTGTTAAAAAACAAGGGGACCAAAAACCAATCACAGTAATTGAAAGTGTCCTTTTTCCCAAATGAAAAATCCCAGAAATGTGTTTTTTATTGTTCTCCCAAAGCCGCCCAATGTTTACTGCATTGTTGCTTCTGACTATTACACTGAAAAAAACAGGCAGGAGAAAACTGTGGCTCTGTTTTTCATTTCCTATACAGGTACACATACATGTATGTACCAGTCCATCATTTTTAAAGAGTGCTATCGCGCAGGTGCTCCTACCGCACTCCTCAACACTCCAGAAGGTGTGTAAAAAATTGCACTCATAAAAAATCTAAGGGCACTTTACAAATAACGAACGATATGACAAAAACACTGGGTAACATCACCAAAAAGGACGGTGATTCGTTTATACACGTATGTAACTTACGATTTCACATTTATCCCACCGCGACTTTCATACATGTACATAGGCCTATAACTATTGTATGAATGCGATACTCCCAAGCGCGGCTTGCTTCCGAACCGAGCAGCCGGCAATGCATGCACGCATAGCATGCACACGGTACATGCTTGCATGTGTATGTCGCGCACAATTTCACTGTACATGATACAATCTGTTACATGTTTTTATTGGTCGGTAATGTTTTCAGTCACAAGAGAGTCCATCAGTATCAATCTTCTTTACGCGGCGCTTAAGCAGAAAGCAGTGTGCCATGAGCTAAGGTCCTCATGAAAACGTTGCTCCTTGCATATACATGTATACAGCGTGTGTGCCCACTGAATTCCCGCAGGAAATCCCCCAGCATGCCGGACCATAATCATACATGTACATAAATATTGTCACGTGTGCAAGCACATGCATGTGTGTTGGTTTGACGTTTTCCCATTTTGATTGAGGTGGGTTTGTTACAGTCTGCATCAACTGAACAAAGTTGAAGTGCAGTTTAAACTTTCAAATCCCCTTCAGGTATTTTGAAAGAAATGCTCAAATCAGGATGAAAAGGTTCACTTTCACTTTTATTTAAATTAAAGGGACACATACATGATATACAACTGTGTTGAATTGTAGGTCGAAACTTGCATGTAATGTTATAGTTAGTCAGACCTAAATACATGTGTAGTGTATTTCACAAGGGTAAAAAGTCTGGTTAAAATAAAAGAAAACAAGCACTGAGATGATGTATGTGTCATAAATCCATGCTTCTAACTGAACTAAAACTAAATTAATTTTAAAAATTGCCCCAAGAACATTATAAACCATCAGAAAAAGTTGAAACAACAGACTCCAGGGTACAAACAATCCTTGGACCTCATTTTCCATTTCTATTAATTGGTTTATATTAAGGAGAGTGATTTGCTCTCCTGAGACATTTGAGGAGAGCATTGTATACACGTAGCTCTCCTGGATTTTCTTAAGATGAAGGACTGAGTAAAGTACAAAACCATATCTACACAGTGTGTGCAACTGTGGTTCACAATGGAAGAAAATGAATGGAAACATGCTGGTTGATCCATTCAACTGCAGAATGGAACTAAGTTTACAGTACAGTGCACATGTACATGTATGTACATGTGATGCAGCTGCATTTCTGTTGAAAGCAATAACTCATGACGTGATCAATGATCCACCAAGCTTAGGGCAGGGATGTTCTCAAGTGTTTCAGGAACCATACTTACGTATACTAAAGGAATCGATACTTAGGTTTCTGATACGTGTACTTCATAAACTTTCTGGTTGATGTCATGAGTTCTACATGTACATGTATGGTATACAAGTGCATTTAATGATCCCAAACCCCTTGGCGTCTTTGCCCTGAACATTCTCCAGATATCCAACATTCATCACTGTGCACGAAACCCCAGGCACATTCTTTGTATTTGAGCTTTCAAGGAAGAATTAAGACCCATTCAAAGATAAAGTGTGCTTGTTCATGCACGTTCACGAGGAGCGCATGTACATTGTAAATGCAACAAAAGGCATAGCGTGGGAAAACACCACTGAAAGAAACAGAGCTTAATAAGAGCTCATGGTGAAGTGACTGGAATCTGCAGAATGTTACTCAAAACAGTGTAAAGTTCTGAAGATTAATATTGGCAGGCACAGTGTACACATGGGTAATTTTATGCACTGTGCATGTCACTGTACAAAGGTGTAATGAGGTTTACAGTGGTTTGCTTTCATACATGCTTGCAACATGTACACACATTGTAAGCAGCAAGTGGATCTCTGATCCTTCCACTTTTATCGGGTGTATGTGGTTATGTTTTCAACATTTACATGTATATTGTTTTATATAGAATTTAGAACAGACTAAAAGGAAAATGGATACAATACTTGAAGCATTCAATGGCCTTACAGTTACACACACTGGTACATGTACCGTTTGTACCGGTACAATGTACCGTACATCTATCACAGTGCAATTGTGCTCGTTGATACAGTGTGTGTACAGTGGTCACGAGACAGGCACACGCTGTTTTTGTATGAGTTGACGCAATTCTCTGCTCATGACGCTAATATTATGATAAACCATTTACATAAATGTACATGTATGTGTGTTCCCGGTAATGTGTGTGGTATACGTACTTCTCATTCTGCGATCACAGCAAGCCTGTTGAGAAACATCACTTATCCCCAAGAGTGCCAATCCTTTGTCAACAGCTTCAGCTTTGCTTTACACACAGCCTTTGAATTGGAACAAGTAAAACCCCAGGAACTGTACGCACGTCAGCTAGGCTGAGATTTTAATGTAATGTCCGGGGAGGGGAGATACATGTATCATCTGCTATTTATCATGGCAATTTGTAATAACATTTGCCCGCTGGATCATTTTGGGCATCCAATCAACAATTCATTCTATCCTTTTTTTTCTCGTCCCTGCTACCGGTACATTGTACCTTTGACAATAACTGTGTTTAATTCTCGATCCACAGTCAGTTTTGTTTTGTTTGCATACTTCCATACAAGTACAGTATCTGTGATACAGTAAAAATAGTCATACATGTACATACAATTTATGTACACGCACTGCGGTGCATGTATCACATGTACAAATGTACATGTACATGTATACAAGTACACCATGACGTATCCAATACTATTTCAACTTATCAGACTGTTTGAAATGATAAAAAAGACACAAAGGTCCTGGAAGTCTGAGATTACTGAACAGGGAAAAAATTCTGGCAATGAAATTCCAATTCTGTTTCAGAATTTTTTCATCAGTAGCACTGTAAATTTCCAAAAATCTCAATTTAAATGAAGTCAAATTTTCACACATCTCAATTTGGGGTGAGTGGATTGGTAAAAAAAAATGGGGGGGGGGAACATTTTTAAAATAACTTATTCTGAATGACCAACTGAAAAACCACCTGCAGGAATTCAATGCAGTTGTCTTTGAACTCAGTCTAGAAATACATATCTGTCCTGACACCACATCGCACGTCACCAATCTTTTCAATACTTCTGAAATTGTAACAGTTGCTCAGTGGTTTGTTTGCCGACACTGGCTCTTCCAAGCATCAGATTTGCTAGTTTCCGGGGAACTGCGCTCACACAGCAATCCATGCCCACTTCTAAATGTCCAGGGGGGGAGGTGGTTGAGGATTGGCAATGCAGTGAGTAAACAGCTGCAGTTTGTAGAATTGCAAATTTGCTCCTGCACACATGTGCATGTACCTTGATGTCAAGACCTTAACTAACAACTGCCCTTTTTTTTTCATGTAACTGGTAAACATTTCTGGGTCTGTAATGATGAATTTATTCAGGCCCTTGACACCAAAGAAGTTATCGGTTCCTCTCCCACCTAACTTCAAGTCTGAAGTACAGATACATGTACATGAACTAGTATATGTATGTATGTACTGGTAGATTACAGAGCAACTCTAAGGAAAACATGTTTTCTCTGACTGTGTTCAAATAAATATGGAAGCATCCAAATCGAACACAGTGTCGTTTGTCTTCAGAGCTCAACTGCAACAAGCTAAAAAGGGCTTTATTTCTTTCTGTTCATGCCAAGATGCGTATTCTGAACATGCTGAATGTAGATTGCATCATTCTGAGAAAAAATTGTTTGGCATGCACAAGGGTTTATCCACTACAAACACAGGGCGAGGGTTCCCCTCTTGACATGAACAGAAATAAGGCCCTTTTTAGCTTGCTGTAGTTGAGCCCTGAAGACAAATGACACTGCGTTCAATTTGGATGCTTCCATTTTTATTTGAACAAATAAAATCAGAGAAAACATGTTTTCCTTAGAGTTGCTCTTTTAAGTAAAAAATCTACCAGTAAATTCACTGCAACACTCTCTTGATTGGTATTAGAGCTCCAAATTTCCTTGGTGACAAGTCGCTCACACTGGGTACATTAGCTCACACAGGGCTACCCGGACCTGGTGATGGTAAAGTGTGTTGTGTCAAACAGGAGAGACGATGGGGACGAGGCCAAACAGGTGTAACTCATGGACACTAAATAAATGCACCCACAGCCTAAAAATATCAGCATTTTGGAGACCAAGCACTGCGCACTGCATTGGTACTCTCGAGGGAATTTACCAAGGTTTGAGCCAAAAATATTTTAATGATTCGAACCCTGTGTCACAATGTAGAAAAAGCGCTAGCAAACCTCAGACCCATGATGTAAGAGTAACCAATGAGTGGTGATATTATGGTTTTTTTTGGGGGGGGGGGAATGCCCCCTTACCTGAGGTAGTGCAGGTCTGATATCTCCTTCATGCACAGCCAGCAAAACTCGGCCCCGCAGACCGCACAGGACATGTGGTTGCAGGACCCGTCATCCATCTTGATGATGAGGGCAGTGCATCGTGGGCAGGGTTTGATCTGGTCTGCTGCAGTTACCAAGAGAAAACACACACTACAATCCAAACTAGGGGCATGAGACACCACTGGCATTCATGAGTACATGTAGACCATTTAAAAATGAAAATTTACATGTGAATAGTATACATGTAGCCCTATATTAATGACTACCAAGATTGATTTTCTTTTTTCCCTGAAAATCCCTACCTTTTAGATAAAGTTTATCTCTCAAATTTTTCAAAAATCCACTGCAGGACACCAGTGCAAGTTTCCAATCGAAGCATACCCCACTGTTACATTTTGTTGTTCAAAATAAGCAGGCCTGTTATAATTTCTAGCATTGAATATCATACTGAATTTAGCTAATGAAGAAATGACGACCGAGGCAAGGGTCGACAGAAAAAAAGAACACAGGTCTGCAACTTACAAGACGCAGAGCCCTGGCTGTAAGACCGTGACGTCTTCCTCAGAAGTCCCTGCCGCTGCTGCCTGGCTGCATCGCATGTCTGGTCTGGGTGCCAGACCTGCTTGCAGTGGTAGCAGAAGAAAGTGCCACAGCCCGGTCGCTGGCAGGCGAGCTGCGGGCAGTTGGCACAACCCGTTGCGATCACCGCAAAACTGCATCATAAGTCAAAGAAAATCAATCATAGTGAGAAAATCAATCACAAATTTCCATTAGCATCAATACAAATGATCCCCTAGAAGTGTGCTCTTTACATTCATCTNATAAAAACACAAAACAAGTCCTGTGTGTTTGAGTGTTTTGAAAGCATGCTGAGCAAGTTAAAGCTTTTTCAGGAGAAGGGTCGTTTCGAAATATCCATAATCCAAATACTTAAAAATGACTTTTAGGAAACCGAAGCCCTTATACAGGTACATGTATACATGTATGTACATGTATGTAGAGTCTCTATAAAGTGAATTGTCTTCCTACATGCTGACATGTAAATCCATCAAGACGCTCCATGTCATTACCAGCAGACATGAAGCATCAGGAAGTATCAACCCATGTATATTATTTCATGTACATATAGGGGCTGCCTCTTGCATTGGCAATTCTTGCTGAAGTGAGTACAGAAGCAATCTGTCCTCAGCAAACAGAAGAGTCAGACATGGCTGGAATGCCTATCAGTACACTGTACATGTACATGTAGCTTTTGTTCCTTATGTTACTGTGGACTACAGACTGTGACCTCCAGTTTATTCTGTTGCTACACAACAACTTTCAACGCCTATTATGGTAGGATTTTCAAGGAGCTGTACACCGTAAAAGTATTTGAAGTGCTGACCCTTCAATGCACTGCTGAGACACGTTAACTAAAAACAGTTTTGTCCAAGCATCAATAAGCAAAACATATACATGTACCACAACATGTATGACATGTGTATATGTACATGAACATGTTGTACATGTACAGGTTCATCATTGTACATGTACAATGTACATGTATGTATACTATACGGTACAGCTGGCTAAATGTTACGTGTAAATCGGTACAATACAGATTATCATCTGCCCATGCAGTGACAGCATCAACAATGGTCTGGCAGTAGTGGAATTTACCAGCAATTCATTTATGTACCGGTACACACAATTAGTGAATTACCAGTACATGTACATTAACAACAGAAATTTCATAAAGTCTGTGTTGTTACATGTACATGTATTGGTACATTATAAAAAGCCCTCTCTCATACTGTAAGTGTAACAAATGTACATGTACGCATACCTGTAATTCAGCATTGCATGTTACACAATACATGTACATCTGTTTCACCTATGAATTTTATTCTGTTCATTACATGTAACAAAAAATATATGTACCGTACCAGTTACACGTACATGTACCGGTACATGTATACTGATAGTGTATTACATGTACAGTTTTTTTCTTACACAATTGCCGGTAGGCCAAAAAATATAGTTCTGCTTAATGGTTTCCCGACCAGCCCTTATTTTGGATCCGACCCTAAAATTTTATTGGCAACTTAAAAACAATTTTTTTTAAATATGAAACGTTTTAAAAATCCAGATTTCCTTTTTGTCTTCACAAAACAACTTTTTTTGGCATTGAAACACTTGGATTCATATGCTTGCCTGCTTACATTCTTTTGAAATTCTTCTGCTTACAACTTTGAGAAGAAACTTCCATTATTATTATACATGTTCCCTTCATGTTTCACAATCGCAGTGGTGATTAATGCATGCGGAATAACGCTCACTGTACTGAAGCAATACTGCACTGGTTCCCGATGCTCCACACTACTGTATTGGCAAAGAAGACACAATGGAAATGCAGCAACCAGCCTATGCATCCGAGCCAAAGTACATGTAATGTCATTTACACTAGATGTACGTGTACACCGTACACGCATGCAGCTCTACAGCTGCAAAAAAAATCAATGTTGCAAGAAGATTTTGGAAGGTTAATTCACAGAACTTGATCTCTTGTCCAGGTACTACATGTAGTACACATACCGATGCATGTATGTATTTTCTGTGTTCATGTCATACACATGTACTTGAAGCGAGCAGGTTTCCACAAAATATCCTCTTGCAAGACAAGGTTTCTAGCCTGCCCAATACATGTACATGTATCATGCATGCTTACCATGTGATATGTACATGTACAATGTACAATGATGTATGGACATTCTGTGCGAGTTTCCCGTTATGATAACCTAACCATGCTGACTACCGTTGTGCATACATGTACAATGTAGTGGTTTGAATTGTCCATTAACATTAAGAATTGTCAACTGTAGGTACACGTATTTTTTAATTGATTAAGGCAAGTTTTTATGACTGTTTGTGGCAATCAGCACAAAAAATTGATCCCCCTAAAAAGTTTCCTTTTTTCTTGTCTTTAAATTGACAGAAAACTTTCTTTTGGTAAATCCAGAAGAACCTGGTTAAAGTTGTAGGCCTACATGTACATGTACCTGGTGTATTTTGTCTAAAATATACATGTGTGTACATGTATTTACAATACTACAGTACATGTACATGTAGTAGTGTCACTGCTGTGTGACATACATACATGTATACTGGGAAAATAAATTAATGAAATGCATACATGTGTACACTGTACATGTACATGTATGTAGAGTATATGTACACGTACATGTACGGTACATGTGTGTGCTTCTGCCATTTCTAGGGACCTCTCAACATGGAATCAATTACTGTACCTGTACATGTAACTCTGACCACTGCAGGAATTGACATACATGTATGCTGTTATCCCTTCAGCGACAGGATGTTTACAGTACTTTTCAGAGGGCAGACATCGCTTAATTTGGGCAGAGTAACCTGATATTAAAAAGGGACTTACTGGGAATCCAATTTTTGAAAGGTGTGGGCGTGTCTCTTTTCGCGGACATTGACATGAATACCCTTTCAAATGGCGCCTCTTTCCAGCTTGTATGATTTGATCAATGGCTTCTCCCATTTCTTTCCTTTTAAATTCTAATCTGGAGAGTACGCAGTAACAGCATGGGTCATTCAGTATACACTGTACATTACATGTACTTCTCAGAGGGCAGACATCATTTAATTTTGGCAGAGTAACATGATATTAAAAAGGGACTTACTGGAAATCCAATTTTTGAAAGGTGTGGGCGTGTCTCTTTTCGCGGACATTGACATGAATTAGCCTTTCAAATGACACCTCTTTCCAGCTTGAATGATTTGATCAATGGCTTCTCCCATTTCTTTAATTTTAAATTCTAACCTGGAGTAGGCAGTAACAACATGGGTCATTCAGTGGACTTATTCAGTGGACCTAAGTGCATACATGAACACGTACATGTACACGTACATGTATGCACATGCACTACATGTACATGTAGTGCATGTACACGTATGTACTGGTACATGTACATGTACTTTTCATATCCCATACAGGGTTGAGTATTTACGAACTGCACCATACATTTGTACACCAGTGTCCTCATGTGCATGTACGTGTACTGGTAGGGGTACCAGTAATTTCACTGCAGTATGATGTACATGTACATATGTACATGTACCAGTACAGGTAGGTGTACATGTACGTGATGTACTATGTATCGGGGTACAGTACATTACACTGGTACCATTGACCAGTTACAGGCCTTCAGCACTGTACACACTGTACAGGGCTTTAATCAGTGTTGAAAGATACACAATGTAGTTCACATGTACATGCATAACAGGGAGTTCCTTGAACATGCTGAATTGAATTGAATAGACTGACAAAAAGCACAATAAGAGACAATCTCTTGGCCTTCCCACTGTTGTACTTTTTGTACTGTGTAAACAGTGCTTTCAGCAGAAGGGAAAAAACATACCGGTACATACAGTACATGTACAGTTTGCATGTAAATGTAAACATGTACATGTACAGTACATGTAGGCCTACAGGACATTGGGTACATGTACTGGTACGTACATGATGTACGTACATGTACATCACTAGCAAATCTTGTACACTGGTACATGTTGTACATGTACATGTAGGCCTACACATACCAGTACAATGTTCATACATTATGTACAGTACAGTACATGTAGTATACAGGTGCTGTATGCTGCAAAAGTTCTGTACACATACATGTACAGTACATGTATACCCGGTACATGTATGTGCACATCCATGAACCGTGGGACAAGACACAAAATAATTACCGCACAAAATGACTTATATCCAGTTCGTAAGTGACTTCGTCACAAGGATGGACGCGCCACGATTTGCAGGCTTCCATTGGACGATCGCTGAAGTTGTGCGTTAACTTCCGGTTCCATGTACATGGCGATCAATTAAATAGCGATCAATGCATTCAACTCTACATGTATGCGCAGTGCAGATACATGTAGAATTCGGCCAAATTACGTATGGTGGAAAGTTTTCTTATGCGGGATACAAAGGTCATGGTGGCTGAGCACTGACTTTGATCAATGTTTCGATGCATGCCACACCTGAAGGGTTGATATTGCATAAATACTGGTCTGTTAACTTGCATTACTTATCATGGCTTGAGCTCTGCTGAATTTGATTACCTACATGTATCATCTTTTGCTTAAATGTGTGTTTTCCTTCGCAAATCACTCATCAAATGCAAACAGTAAAGGAAAAGTCATTTTTGTGGAATGTCGACAGGAACCATGTTGCTTGCATTGCATTGTGGGGTTTATATTTTTGTGAATGCATGCATACATGTATACATGACAACTGCATGTTTCCTCACCCCAGTTTGCAACGTTTCTGCACAGTACATGTACAGTGGTAATAGTTCGTGCTCATCCATCTCACTAGCGGTAAAATCACAAAAATGCAAATTGCGAATAATTCCTGAAAATTTTCTTGAAAGAAAGTACATGTAAATAACAACCTCGGTAAAGCTGTAAAATAATTCAACATAGAATGTTGCTGTTTTTGAGAAAACAAAAATTGTGTTCTCTTTTTCAAGAATGGTCAGTTGACCTTTTAAAAATTTATTTTGTTTTAAATCTGTTGATGAGTGCTACATGTAGTTTTTGTGTGTGGTGTATACAAAATACATGTATCAGTGTGTACAGAGTCTAAAAGCAGCAAAACTACAACTGCCAGAAATTCATCAAATGCACTGTAAACTGGAACATGTAAAGTAACACAAAATAAACAAAACAAGTACATGTACGTTGTACGGTATATGTACCGTTAGCAATGCATGTTTATGTCAGAAGGGTTACATGTCTAAATTAACCCCAACCCCCTAGGGTATGTATGTAAGATCATGTCCACTGAAATCGGAGGACTTTGGTCTTTCAGGGCTATGGTGCTTTTCATAATGGTGCAACAGAAAAACGAACTTGAGGTCGGGTACCAATACTTACCCACAGTCTGGTGCTGGACACCATCTGCAGTCCGAATCCATCATTAACAACCGTCGCAGTGTAAACTCCTCATATTTATTCATGAGCATCTCGTCCTGCAAGACCAACTTGATGTCATTAGGGTGGAGTGGCTCAGCACACTCTGGGCAGGCAATGTTCACCCGGCTCTCCGTTATCTCAATCTTCAAGTACTGTCGCAGGCACTCCCGGCAAGACCGGTGCTCGCAGGTCATGATGTCCGGGAAGTGGTCCTTGGGCCGGTCCATCAGGCACAGTGGGCACTCCATGCTACCGACAAACTTTCCCCCACCCCCGCCCCGGTGGGAGCTTGCCCCTCGCATGGAGACGGCCCGGCGGTAGGATTTGGCCGGGGGCGTTCCCCCGCTGCTTCCCCCCACCCCACTGCTCTGCCCCGGTGTGGTGTCCAGACTCCCCCGGCGTGGCCTGGACTGCCGCTGCAAGAACCGGGGGATGAAGCTACTCTGCTTCTTGCGTTTGACAGAGTCTGTCGTGGCCTGAGAGGTCCCCGACTGAATAGAGCGTGTGTCAATCTCAGGGACTTTCATAATGAAGTCAGAACTCCCCCCTCCAAAAACACATGTAAAACAGGAAAATGTAAGTGAATACCGTGAACACTTCTTTTACAAACACTCAAGATCCTACAACATAACGATAGTAGACTGTCCTTCTTTTCCTGGTGGTTACTGGATATAAGACACTGTGTTTGGTTCAAATACTGAAGGCTGATGTCAACTTGGAAGCATGGTCCAGTCCATTCAATGCTTGGGACCTACATGTACATATCCATGTAGTATCAAACTGCCTATCACGTGCATACATGTACATGTGGACAAGGCTTGTGCATGTATGTAAGACTGTCATAAAACACTGCACTATCAAGGCTAGAGCAAGTTATTGGTATCAAAAGCACTGAGGAAGAATCTCGGACAGGAATGTGTGGCAATGAAACGAAAATACAAAAAGAGGAAGTGATCTCATACAAGAAACAGAGAGCCAATGGGGACTATGTCAAGTACTCTGGATTTCTTTGGAGCTGAGCTGTGCTGAGTGATGATTTCTGATGAATTCTGCAGGCTGGTGGCACTTTCACGCCCCAGTAACTCGCATGACCTTCCACTTTGGACAATTTCCATTCCAATCCTGTAGTCAGCTGCTTCCTGCTAGAACTACACCCATTCCTGCCAACGGACAAAAATAAAACTAGTGGAATAATACAATACACACAATGCATACATGTACGTCTGCCAAGTGTGTTTGACACAAAACACAATGAAGGGAAAATCACGTTTACATGTACATGTACATTTACATGTCACCAGTGTTTTCCCACTTGTTATATTTCTGCAAGTGTATTTGAACACCCAAAACATTTTACACTTGCAAATACTGGTAAGCCTGTAAGCAGTAGATATAGTTCCAACGAAACAGCTACATGTACCGGTGGAACATGTATCCGGTATGTGCTTACAAACTTAGTATAAACTTCCTTTTACAGTTAAGAACTGACAGACCAAATTTCACATGTACATGAACGAGTACATACTTCTCAGAAGGCAGACATCATTTAACTTCAATGTTGGCACACATGTACATTAAGGTACATAATACATGTACCATGTGTGGTGTGTACTACATGTACATGTATACAGTTATACTGTACATGAATTGGTTGGGAGGTTCTGACGTCACGGCAAAAATGTAAAATCATCTGGGAAAAATGGTGAACCAAACTGTGGGCTAACTGCACCGCCAGGCAAGTATTTCAGTGCAGTGAAGTCAGTGATGCTCCTTGTCGTGAAGAGTGAAATATGCTGAAAGAGTTTGTAATTGGAGTTATCTCATTGTAATTTAATTTCAAGAATATACATGTAAAGGAGAGATCTACATTGTTTTGGATTCTGTCTTTACATAAGTCAAGCTTTTCATGTTTGTTTGGTAACAGATTAACAGAAGTAATGGCTCAAACACTGATATATGACTGAAATGTGTCAAACAAAACTTAGATAACAAGAGAGGATGTACCGGGGATACATACATGTACATGTAGAAAACTACAGGAGAGATATTAATGGCAGTTGAAAGGAATTACAACTTCCATTATTCCAATTTTATTATCAAAATCCACTGTCATCACTGTCAATCTATATGTACGCCACCTGCATACAATTTACAAAGGTGCTTTGTTTTAGTCAGCTTTAATCAGATGAAGGGCCCAGGGTTTTCTAAGATCTTGCAATCTGTCACAGCTACAGACGGTGCAGCACATACAGTATCGACGCGTCCTGATGGTATCAGCTTTCAAGTAACACAGTAAAGATGGCTGTGCAGTGAAAACAAGATGCCATCCTCCTGCCTTCAAAACGGAGTAGGCCTAGGCCTAGGTAAAGTGGGGGTCATACTAATCAGCGTCAACACACCGTCAACGCGCATCAACACATTGATAGTAACATCGACACACCGTCAACACTTACAAAATGCATTGAAAACAGAAAACAGACGTATCGAACTGTAATGTACACGCTTAGGAATAATTTATATTTAATCAAGTTTACATTTTACTACATTTCAAGGGAGTTTTTTCATGTGAAAAAAATTGTCTCTGAGCAGCGCCGCCGTTCACCGCCATCTTGCCTTCTCACGGCGTTTGGACCATACCATGGTTTACTGTATAAAGGTGACCTCCTGTAGCGAAATGGTATGGTCCGTCTGACCGAGAGGGAACATGGCTTCCGTCTTTTGTGAAATAAAATGGCTTTTTCCCCCAAATGTCGCCCACTGTTGTTAGCCACATTGTATTTTAGGCATCATATTGCTATCAAATTGCGTTTCTATTTACTTATGGTGATGGGTGATTTTGCACAATGATAGAAATGCAATATGGAAAGGACAGTAGGCCGGCATACTCCGAAAGGAAAAAAGGGACAACGTGGAAATGTGGGCAAAGTGACCAACATCCACTCAGACCATGCAGCCTGAGCCACAGTAAGCATAGGCCTGTAATTAGCCCAGGTGGACTCCCTGACCGTAGGTCTACTAGGGACAGTGCGGGAATTTTCAACCAAGAGGAAAATTCAACCAACTGCATTCAAAAACTACACAGCTGGTGGAATTTCTTGCTTTTCTTATGTGGTCGAATACCCCCACCTTTACCCTACTACGTCAGTCCAACCTGGGCTAGGCCATATCAACCCAAAACGACTACATGTAGGCCTATTTTTAACCAAAATTGTTCCATGTATGGCGGAATTTTTCTCCATGTTCCATGTCAAATGGCTGACACGGCTGAGTTGTGTGCGAATGTCTACATGTACAGATGCAGTGTGATGGAGAGTCCATGCATTGACCATACATGTATCACTGAACGAAACTGAACATGCTGAAAGGGGATGAAGGCATGACACAGAAAACGCCAATTGTGTCGATCACAATCCTACTTACCTTCAAGCTTTCGTTTCCTCGTTTAATCACGTTGACCTACAGTCTTGTTCGATGATTTGTAACATTAGTGCAAGAACATTTCCTTGACGAAGCCTAACCAAGTAGAAGTAGGCCTCGCTGAACGAACTGAAGTGCGGGGTGCGGGTAGCGTAATTAAAAGAAACTGAATGGTTTCCAAAGACTGAGTTAGGCCTATGCTGCGTTTGTACGTACTTGTGTACGTGTATACGTACGTTTCCGTCACCCGAATTACTGTGCACATTGCATATTGGGTGATATCACGTACGTGTACGTACGTGCGTGGGTTGCGGGATGAACTTCACATCGCCGAAACTGACATGACGTCATGAATTCCTGTTTGTTTACTAGCCATTTGCCACTAAACTTTCAACCACAAAGATAGATTGCAAAATTATGTCTTATTTACCTGTCAAAATAAGATATCAAATATTTTATTTTGTTGAAAAATTATTTGTATCTTTCTGCAAGTTAAAGTTTATTTCAATGCGTGCAAAAGCTAAAGTACCATAATTTTTCTGAATATTGAAAAGGGTTGAACTCTCAATCATTTCGGTATATTCCGGAGAATTCCGGAAAATAAGATATTCAAAATGGCGGCGCCCTCTGACGGGAAACATCGTGACATCGCGGCTCGGGGACTTACATGTGGGAACCTTCATGTACACAATGAGTATAGCTATTGTCATGTAACTGTTACGTGAATAACGATATTGTACGTGGTTATCGAGAGGTTTTGACCAAATGTTTGCCAAGGCCACCAGTCATCAGGCAGTAACTCATTCTAGGCGTGGAAACCTTTTCGACGTTTGCAATGTTATGTTATCATGGTTATGGCATATGGTTTGGAATAAACCTTTTTAACAAACAAGCAATGCATTTTATGCACAACCCTGGGGGGAGTGAACCAGTCAAAAATCAAGTTACAGTTTTCTACTAAACATTTTTGATGTAGGCCTATCTGCTCATCAACTCACAGATACTGTCAGATGCATATCGAATTGGTTGGCGGGCTGTTTCCCCATTGACACATTGCGATTTTGCTGACGATTGTCCCGCATCACCTAATGATATATGTCAATTCATCGCATGGTTGTCCTTGCAAGATTAAGCAGCATCAACAGTTGCCACGTACATGTATGTAGCGGGTGTGGGTTAATGTGCGTATTATCAGGTTATACAAAAAACATTTTCAAATACGTTTTTAAATATTTGTAAGAACAAATCACCCTTTGCCTTTTTAAGGGCACCAGTCGCTCTACAGGCATGACAGGCTGAAAATGAATGTGACTGGTCAAAGCGGGATGAATGAGCTGCAAGTTATAATTTTGATTGGACAATACGAGAACATTAATATTCACAAATTTGTCAAAGCACGGTCGGTGACAAAAAGTGGTGTTGTTGGAAGGAATTTTCTGAATTTTCCTTCTCTGCCAAGCTTTGAACTTCAAAGTTTGTGAATATCTTCATCCCAAATCAAAAATGCAACACTTTGTTAGAAGGGTTGAATTGGAGTATGAAATAAAATGGAAACAGCTTACCGTTTGGCAGGTACACCTCTCCCATAGGGTTGTGCATATTATGCATTGCATGTACTGTATGTCATCCAAATCCACAATGCATTGCAAACGTCGAAAAGGTTTATTGGATGACCAATATTACAATGCATTTTATGCACAACCCTATCATGCCTATGGGGAACTGAACCAGTAAGAAATCAATTTACAATTTTCTACGAAATATTTTTTATGTATCTGCTCATCAACTTACATGTGCAGATGCCTGCATATTATCAGATTATACAAAGAAACATTTTCAAAATAAGTTTTCAAATTTTTGTAAGAAGAAGAATTCACCCTTAAAAAATTGTCTTTTTTAAGGGCACCAGTCACTCTACAGACTGAAAATGAATGTGACTGGCCAATGTGGGATGAACATGATGATTGAGCTACAACTTCATGATTTTGATTGTGCATTAATATTCACAATCTTGGTCAAAGCACGGTCCAAGACAAAAAGTGGTGTTCAGGTGTTGTTGAAAGGGATTCTCACTCTGAATTTTCCTTTTCTGCCAAGCTTTAAAATTTGAAGTTTGTTAATATCTTCACCCTAAATCTACAATGCATCACTGTGTGAGAAGAGGATGGCTTGAATTGGAGTATGTAATAAAATGGAAACAGATGAATCTTTTGTGGACACTTTTCCCATGGGGTTGTGCACAATATACATAGCTTGTTTGTCGTCCAATCCCATAATGCATTGCGAACATCCAAAAGATTTATTTGTGTGACTAGCAGCAGGGCCTGACGTTAGGATGTTAATCATGTTAATGTTAGGCCTTAACACTCCCTGGTTGACTTGTCCCCTGATCAGATCATCCCGGCCCACTCGCCCGCTGGTTATACTTGTTTAATTCCAAGCCCAGCTTAATTCATCAGTGCTCTTCAAGTTTGTGTGTAGTTTGAGTTAACATCCATAATGGTATAGTCAGCAAGTTCCTAATTTTGCCACCTATTGTCAAGTCTGATTGGTTCTCACAGTAAGTGGTGAGATAAGGGACCTTGCGACTATACCGTCATGGACGTTACATAAAATCTGTAACTGAATTTTGTATTACATGTACAGTCTTCGGAAAGAGTTTCATATACGGACAACACTAATGATCTCTTTAACCTTAACCTCCCAAGGGTTGCTGGCCCTAACCTTCCCCATTCACACAAAGTTTGGGTGTTTGTGCATAGAGGCTGTTGGACTTTGTTTTTCTGAGGTATGCCAAACCCAATGCAAAAGCCAGCTGTTATGGGCTTACCAGACCTATCCCCACAGAATTAAACACTTTACTACTGTTTAATTCTGTGTGGTTGGGGAAGGTTCAGGTTAAATATTATACATACACATAACAGCCATCAGAAAGTGATAACATGTCCTAAAAATTATATTTAGCAAAGAAAATTCTGAAGTACTTAACTGAGAAAACACTTTTTCGGACAAGTCTTATACATGTACATATGTACATGTAGGTTTATGCACAGGGACACCAACCTGTCATTCGTACATGTATATTTCACTCCCAGTCTTTTTTTACTTCTTACATGTATTTTTTCCATTGAAATAGATGGAATGCTATAAAGTTTTCTTCGAGACATCAAACAAGACAACTGCCTGAAAATGGCCATACATGTATGAGACATTGATTCACGAACCTCATTTAAATGTCACTTTCACAACTGAGTGAAAGTGAAAATATTACTTTTCCCAAATTGAGTTGTGATTTTCAGATACTTTATGTGAAAAAGAAATTGCACAAATCGTACTCACTGTTTGAACAGGACATGAAGCCTGTGCGTGGATTTTAGTGACCAAGGGAGACAGTGATACGTGTAATGAAATGTTTTATTGAATGCTAAATCAATAATTGTTGAATATCTACCAGGTGGGCTGAGACGGTGAAGTGAAGATTTTGAGGCTTGGCCGAGGAACAAAAAAAGTTTTGAAAGAAGACATGTTGATCCCGCGGTTGGTGCGGCGGCGCAAGACGTGGCTGTTCTGCATTCTGGCCCTTGCCTGCGTCTGCTTTTTCTTCCAGTTCATGGGCCTGCACATCCTCAGCTCGGGTGCCAGCCAGAAGGAGCAGTCGTGGTACCAGCGGAACAAACCCCACGCTCAGGCCCGGCCGATTATCATCGGGGTCCGGCCCAGCGACCTACCCCTCTACCAGCCGGACGTGTTCGGCCGCGTCTTCTGCCTGGACTTCTCCGGCAAAATACCATTGTCCAAGGTGAATGATGATTACTGTGACTGTCCGGGCGATGGGTCAGATGAACCAGGAACTGATGCCTGTCCCAATGGAAGGTATATTATACTCGTACATGTACAGTAGATTCCTGTTATAGCGCTCTTAAGGGGACCTAACAGAGTTGAGCATTACAACCGCACAGCGCTATAACGGACTGGATGGACATGCAACATGTTCACTGCCCATGAGCATAAGTACTTCTGTGTACATGTATAGATGTGAAAACCGACCAGCCGTTACACGCCGAAAACAATCGGCGAAAGACGAGATTTGCTACACATAGATACACATACATGTACAATTTAAGCGGCTGATTTTATTTACCGGTAGAAAGAAACCTTAAGTGACAAAATACTACAATTAGTATCTCAGTGTTGATTATTTGTGTGCCAAACAAATAAATAAAAAGTGGGAAAATAATTACAACAATGTCGCCACAACAAAGTAAATGAAGTTCGGTTGTAATAACCGCCCCACTCAGGCACGGCTCACAGTGGTGAGCTCATGCTCATGATCACACTACCTGGACAGCCCAGTGCGTGTCTGCAGTCTGTGTGATCGCTATACTACTGGTTTCCCACAGGATGGCCAATCGCGGCGACCATGCGATGCGGTTTCATATGCGTTGATTGTGAAAGAATCTTACTTTCCAGGGTAAAGAGTACTGTAATCGGAATCCTTTCACATGCTTTATATGGTTCTCAGGGCCGAAAATTGGGACATTATATTCCGAAAAACGTTGAGAATGGGCGTGCCAGTGGGAAAATGAAAATAGAGTGTTACATTGGTAAGAGCGTTATATCAGGGAGCACTATAAAAGGAATCTACTGTACCCCCGTTAGTCTGAATACTGGCAGCTTTCATTTTCCAGGAGTCAGGGGTCATACCTGGAGCAAGTACGGCCTCACACAAGGATGTGCAGCAATGATAACAGTGGCCATGTTGATCAGTTATTTCCTATGAAATGACTTCGAACCCATATTTGCGTAGATCAACATACATGTACATGTGAAAACGAGATCTCTAAGTAATTTGAAAAGGTGATTAATGTGTGATTATAATAATCTTAGGCTTTTGTTCCCTCAGTGTAAGCACTGTAAACATACTGTCCACTGGTTTCAAAACTGCTCAGCGCATTTTGAATGAGTTTTACATTCAAAATGCCCGGAGTTATTTTCATTCCTAAAAGTTCATAGAATTATGAATTAAACCCTGAACATGATAAACTTTCTCAGGATGAGGAAGATATGTTCTGGTATCTTGGGGTATCAGGGTATAAAATATCTTTGCATCAGTTAACCCCCAACCGGGCTTTTTTGGCCTTTTCACAGCGGGGAGGGAGGGATTCCTCCCCCCCCAGATCTCGGCCAAACGATGATGTACTTCAGTGAAATTTGGCAGTGTCATAGAGGCATCCACACTTATCATCTGTGTGAAATTTCATGTAAATTAAGTCTTTGCATAATTATGACTCATTAATTATTCATGATAGGATATCACTTTGTCCTAGGTACGGTGTACTGCTGTGTACAAAGTTATGGTAAATTTCACATCACGCTTCACCCTCCCTTCTAAAATTTGTCGCTGAGAGAGAACGCCATATCCAATTTTCATAAGTATGGGGTCAAAATGAAACTAAAGCATTAGAAAAAATTGTCATAAAGTATTAGCATGCAGAAAATAATCTTATAGATGCTTTAAGAAAAAATCAAAATGGGTGCATTCTCCCCCCCCCCCCCCGGCTCTTTGAGAGTTAATGGGAGGCTCTTTTGTGGAGATGAGAACATTGCACCATTCAAAAGATTGTGTGGCTTCGTTTTGGGTCAGTTTGACCTGCACAGATCCGGATTGCAATCAGTGATCCCACGTTGGTTCACTGACATCAGAACCTGCCTAATGGATGGAGTGCATGGGATGAGATCACCAATTGAGACCCAGATCCCCATGAAGCAAACAGACCCAGCGTCAACCGCACATAAGAAAGACTCTCAAAACTAAGATGGAAAGCTTGCGGTAAACACCATGTAATATCTCTTTTTTGAGTCTGTGTGGTTCTGATAAGAACCGGAGAGGCTCAACGTTTCGGACTGTGTGCTCTGTCCGTCGTCAGGAGACTGAAGAGATGCAGACAGGGAGTGGGGCTTATATGCTGGTTGGAGGTCTGATGGGTCCTCTATACCCTAAGANGTGAACAAATAGTGGTAATACCACTTGCATTCATGTATTTGCTCAACCAAGTGTGTCTTCATGCGGGCATTATTACTATGGAGGATCTTCCCTCCACGTAAACCCTCCGAAATCATTCACTGTTCAGAAAATCCAGTGGTATACAATGTATGCACACTGCAAAGGGAATCCAGTGGCTTATTCCTTGTGCGAACGTCATCATGAGGGCATTAAACCCTAACATGCCTTATGGAGTTTTATTCCATACTTTTTTCTCATTATTGCTGCTCGTGGACACAGATTTTACTGCCTTCATGAGAAGCGGTTCATCCCATCCGGGAAAGTGAATGATGGGATGTGCGATTGCTGCGATGGAAGCGAAGAATGGAACCAAACAGTCAGCTTACAGAAAGTCAAAGGTAATGTTCAGTCGCACAAATTTGTAGAAGGCCGCAAAGTCTAGTATTAACGTAAAGTTGCATAACCCAGTGGAAAATTTTTATAAAAGTCATTGATTGTATTGGCTGATGTTGTATCACATTTGAACCAGTCAACTACCCCTTCTATACACGTATATGTAGTTACAGAGTTTGAAATTTGCACTGCTAGAGAAACCTGTCCGCTAAAATTGGTGTCAGTCTTACACAGCCCATTGCTGCCATCATGGGAATTTTCAAATGCTTCAACAGTTACTTGCATTTGGAGTATTTTATGGTAAAGGGAGACTTAGTATCGAACAAAGGACTGCATTGTTTAGGTTTTTTCTTTCAGTTCTGAACAAATTTTTGTAAAATGTGACAAAGGATAGGTAGGCCTACTTTTTCCACCACAGTTTGCTTCGATCTTGAAGATTAAAACGCAACGTTGCTCCAGCAAAAGATTTTTTAAAGTAATAAACACTTGGGCTTTAAAGTAACAACAGTTGGGCTGCATCCGAAAGTTACAGGTACCATATTACACTTGTCTGTGGATGCACTTCCCATAGACATTTGTGCTAATACATGCTACAGCCAGTTGATTCAGATATTATTAAGAGCCATGGATGTTTTTGTCTCACAAGCTGCTGGAAGGTGTTGAAATTGCCTTGCCGGCATGGCCAGTAGCGTGATGCCATTGATAAGCAAAACCTACACAATGTAATATTGAAATTCACATTGCTGATGATTTTAACGTTAACTCTTTTGGAATTGAGCGGTGTTGTCAAGTTTACCTACATGTAGTGTGGCATGTGGTTGCTATTAAACTCTGGTTGCTAGGAAACTGTGTAGTCACAAGGTGTGAGCCATTGTGATCTTTTGATCAGACCTCCCGACGCTGAAAATTGAAATTTGTCATCAGGTCATTGAGATCTGGATCACCATGGCTTCAATAAAGTAAAAACAAGGCTCCATTAGGACACAAGTAGAGTTACCTGTTCTAATTTCGGAAGTTCATCACCATAGGACTTGGTTTTGCATTGACTAAGATTAGCTGTTCCACTTTGTCGGCAGATCTTCCTGAGAGCAAGCATGTGAGGCATGCTCCATGCAGCAACGCCTGCCCTGGGATCTCCGATCGGATCGTTGAAGAGGAGGGTCTGAAGCGGCTGGGTGCACGCTTGAAGCGGCAGTACCTCCTGGCTGGCAAGGACCACAAAAGGGATGTAAGTTGCCTTCTGTCTCTGTCAGCAGAAGCCTCTCTCGGGCCAGTGTCTCGGGGCTTCTGCCTACACTGTGTAGAAGCAGTGGCACCCCTTCCCCCAAAGATAAGAGAGACAAAGATAAGAGAGACTGGAGGGAACCCTTCCAACTGGGCGCCAGGTGCACATGCTGAGACAACACACTCTCACTGAAATTGGTCACGCATGTTCCGCTCGACCAATTTGTTTTTGATTACATCAGTGGTTGACTACCATCATTTAGGGCATGTGTTTTTTACCTCCCTGAAAATCAATTGCACCCTTGATGGTGCCCTCCAGACCTTAGAAAAATAAAAAAATTGTAGCTTGAACTGTAGTTGAAGGCTTCACAAGTACTCCCAAGTAAACACTTGTCTCCTAAAGTAGTGACAAGTACCGTATTTTTAATGAAAGTCTAAAGCTAGCTGTTCCTATAGACTGATCCAGCGGCGTGAATTAATAGAAGCCATTATTGCACTGGCACCATGGTCACTCACAGTTGCTATGCAAGCTTTACGTGACTTTTGACCTGTAGGGTTTTGTTATTTGGCAAACTGTAAGTGTGCTCAAGTTTAAGAATGTGCAATTGAGTCTGGTGCCGGCGTAGTAATTGCGTCTCCTCAGATCAGTATACATATATGAACTGCAACAGAGACATTCCTGTAGTCCTTTGTAAAATACCTGTGAAAACTTGTAAAGAATTCTGATCATAGCAGACCAAAAAATTATCATTACGGCCAATGCAGATCTATGGTGAGAATGGGGAATACCACCTATTAAGCCGGACATGTTATAACCATTTTGAGGATCACGCCCACTACACCGTGTGCCCATTCAGGCACATTGTCCAGGAGAAGGGCGACCACTCATTCTTCATTGGCAAGCAGCCGGTCTGGAGCGAGGAAGCCAAAGCTGATGGGAATGACATCCTGGTCATGCAGGACGGCGACAAGAGGAGTTGTCCTAACGATACCAAAAGAAAGACATATGTGAGTGCTAAGCCCCATCATTGCTGCCGGGGTAAAGGCTGGTTTATGCTCAGGACAAAAGAAACATGAGCGCAAAAAATTGTGACATCAGATCGAATAATCATGCTGTAAATTTGCGAAAGTTTAACACATATCAAATCATACAAATTCTCCTGCAAATATTTTGTGACATCAAATTAAAAGGCTGTACCGAATGTATATATAGATTACTTGTTTACTTTCAGAATCAAAAATTGCATGCTTTTATATCCTTGAAATCTTTCTTCAATCCTTGATTACTACTAAGAGTGGTTATGATATTGATAAAGATATTAAGTACTTGTATTATGCAATGCTAAATATCCTCTCTTTTTTCCCTTCTTTTGACCAAAAATCTGCCTTCAGTCTTCTGCCTTCTGATTCACTTGGAATTGTAAACCGAAAATTCACAAATATTTTTTTTCCCTCATTTGTTCATTATCCCTTCAGCTTCATTTTGTGTGTGGACTGAGAGACGAAGTCGTCAGTGTTAGGGAAACTGAGAAATGCATTTATTCCTTAAGGTTCTTGACTCCAGCTGCATGCTGAGATTGGGACGATAGCTGCAGAAATAATCTCAGGCTTCGAGAAGTTGCAAAAGGTGGCTCACCTACTCCGAACTATTGCAGCAGAGTGAGGCAGGAATACAGACCAAATAACAATTCATCTGGAGACCGGACTTCAATTTATACTTGATTTTAAAGACATTCAGCATCGCCACCCTTTCTGAAATTGTACGTGTGGTGTCAGGTATGTGCCTGCACAGTAGACATGTACGTTCACCGTAGATTGACACTTGGGAAAACAGTGCCTATTTGTGCACATCTTGATGCTGGAATGTGATGACCCAGCATCGGACATCGTAGTGCCAACTTTGTGCTGGCTAATATCAGACCCTACATCTGAGTGTATGTCTGCAAAAACTGGTTGAGCATGGAGTACCTCGCGCATCTGTGACAAGTGACTGCATGTACTAGCCAATGGCTCCCCTGCATTGACGTTCCTCTGCTTACGCTGCACAGCCACCACCTACTAAGCTAATCCTGCCCCGTTCCTACTCCCCTGGGCATCAGGCGGTCACAACTAAAGCTTTGTGAAGACAAGCTTAGGCAACTGATGTCTAAGATATCTACGTAGTTTGGACTACCCAGATTGGGGAACGGGCATCACACTTTTCGGTTGTTGCCAAGTAATTTGGATGCCTTAGAGGCCATGATGACTTACAGTTGACAAGCAGCTGCCATTGCTTGAAACCAGAAGCAATGGAACTGCCCGCTCTTGGCCAACAGTAGGAAGTTTACATGTATTGGAGGAGATGCAAAGTTGAAAGAAAGAATGATGGAAACCACATAAGTAACAGATCTTACATGGGAGGTGAAGTTAACTGTTTATTTCAAGTGAATTTTGTCACTTGGATGTGTTCAAACTGCATTTATGGTGCCGTTGTTTGTAAACAGGGATTGAAGAAGTATAGTTTTTATTCTACGCAGGTTTGGATGAGAAACCTAAACCTTGTTAAAGGCTTAAAAGTTTTAGGGGGCAGGAAAATAATCCAGTTTTGAGGAACTTATTCTCAGTAGGGGAAGGGGATAAAATTGAAGAGGGACATTTAAGAATGGTTAATTTATGCCGGCCAGAGTACTGAACAAGAGGGAGGTAGCGTATTTTCACAAGAGCTAAGTTTCCATCGTCTGTTTTCAATCATCTCCCTCCAGATTTACCCACAGTGTATTCCACTTCATTGGTGTGTGATGGGCAGCATGTGCTATTAACATGATGAGTGATAAATCTTTTGTAAAATTTGGGGCTTACATTTCAAAGAGTTTGGAGAAAAAGCATTCAACACACCCAGCCCACAACTCTATTTAGTTTAACCTGGAAAGACGCGGTTCCACCTTGAAAGAGTAAGAACTTTAGTTTGTTAATACTGTACTTTCTCGAGGGGAAATCGGTTCTGCCCTGTTAGGACATCAGTTGAGTACATTTATGGGGAATATACATTGTAGGCTGGACCCATTTTTGTGGTAGTTTAGTAGTCACAATCACGTGATGGCCTCTACATGAGCACTGAGTTGTATAAGGGCAGTCAGTGATGAGGTTCACATTTTCCGCCCACTTGAAAATACACATAACAGTATGTTTGAGGATAGTACATGTGCATGAAAATTGAAATGCTTTTTTTCGAATAATGTGTTAAATTTAACATTTGCCAGCAGCAAAACTGTTGTTTCTTTTGGAGACCACAAAAAATCTGTCGCAGTAAAACCACAGACAATATAAAAGAAAGGGGTGGATTTCAACCCTCTCCCCCGGTTTTCAGGGTAAGATCTGATTTTTAAATTAGTGCCTTGCTTATATCTTGTTAAATGCTAATTCAGTCAAATATCTCAATGTACACAATTTGGGTTGATTGTTCTAGGGAGTTTTTATTTTCTCTTTCAGTAGTGTGAAAAGAACTTCAACATGTAATCTGCATACATGTCGTACTCACGAATGGTGTGATCAATTATCATTGTCTCTTATGTTAAGGGTACATGTATTTTACATGGTTGACTAGATAGCTCACAAAATTGCTGAGACCTGCATGTATTTCTTACATGTATTCCTGAAAAATTGTGAGAATCCATATTTTGACAGAACTTCTCTGCCAAGTGTCAGAAATGTTTTGTGTTGTAAATAACTAGTTCTAAGCTTTAAATATTTTAAAAGTATTTTTCAAAGTTCCAATTTATCAAAATTTTAAACTCTTATTACAATCCTTGCACTGTCAACATGTGATCAGGGTTTGTATTCTTTTTTTTGGTCAAGTCTCATTAAAATTCTGGTAAATATTTGGATTTAGCAGAGGGGACAAGACTTCTACATAATCATATATGCTTATTTGTAATCATAGTTTGTTCAGACTTATGGTATTCAAAACAATTGCATCAAAGCAACTCTGGTCTGCATTACCACATATGGTATGTGCATTCACTGCCAACATTGTAAAGTGGCCGTTGTGGGAAGCAGGTTAGCAACTATATTTGCAATAATGCAAGGTACATGTACCTGTAATTATACAACTCATCAAGGAATGTGGGATGTCATACATGTTGCATATTTGTCAGTACTGTACGTTCATGTGCATCAGGTCAGGTTGAACAGGCTAAACTTACCTGACACACTGATGACATAAATTGAGATCCATCAAAATACATGTAGATCCGAACTATCCGAAGTCACCTCACAAAAATTAAACAACCCACCCGAAATCTAATCAACCTGAAAAAAGCTGAATGAGATAAACTGTCCATCAATTTATCCACTTCCTGTGCCTCAACTTACCCTGTTGCTTGTATGCTTTTGGGAAAACTATTTTGAGAACTCAAAAATGTTGCTGTGTATCTCGGTTACAGGGGCAAAAAATCATGCATCTTGGGCAGTTGGACACGGCAGTAATAATGCTCCATGTGTCCACACTATTTCGTTTTTTGAGTTTATTTTGGATTTTATAAGCGTGATCAAGACGGCTTAACTGAGTTGGCCCGACCAGAAAATCACAGCTGCAACACTCAAACCATCTAACCTGACCGAAGAAGTCAAACACTGCAGCATTTCTGTACTTCGGATAGTCAAAACAAATGTGATGAATTTCCGTGCTCGAGGCAGACTTTGCTTGGCACCTATTAATGATGGACATTAGCAGTACACACACACGTAACTGTACACTGCAATTGTATTGAAGTTCTCCTTGTACTGCAAAGCATATTTTTTGTAATATGAGCTTGTTTCTGTAATATGTGTATTTGATGGGATGTTTATATACAGTTTGATATTTATGTGTCGGCAGATTTTTTGTAAGTTTGGTACTATGTAGATGTACTCATTTTGAGCCCTATTGAATAATAAGCAAGACAATAAAACCCAATTATGTTATATTATGTATTCAGTTTAAATAGAAATTGATTTATTCAGCCAATGATCGTAAAGAGAAGAACAGTCACAGAAATTTGTAAGTTTGGTCTCAGATAAAATCACTTAAGTCTAAAATACACACACAATCACAACCATAAACACATAAAAACAATACTTGCCTAAAATCACTTAAATCAATAATGCACATGCATGTACTGTTACAATCCCAAGGAATTTGTACACACTTTTGAATGAGAAGATGACCGTTCTTATACATGTAAGTTATAGTGTACCAGACAGTTTGGTTTCCATAGTGTACTAGTCGACGGCACCATCGCCGGCGGCGGAGGGGATCCGGCGGCGCGAACCTGGCCTGGGTTTTGGTCTAGACCTGCGCGCTTTGGAAGGAGAACAACCTCGTGACTACTGACCTGCATTCCAAGCCCACAGATAGCCATCAGTATCTTCACTCATCCAGCTGTCACCCTAGACACTGCACGACTGGTATTGCATACAGCCAAGCACTCAGGCCTAGACGCAGTGTTCTAAAGATTCAGATTTCTCCCGCCATACACAGGAACTGAACAGGCATTTGATTGCAAGGGGGCACAGCTACATGTATCACCAGGTTCAACGGTCTATCAATAAGGCCCGCTCCGTCCCTAGAAGTCTTGCATTCAAGGAGAAGACCCCCGTGAAGAAACAAACCCCAGAGTTCCCTTGGTTACCACTTTCCATCCTCGTCTTCCTCCCCTCAAAATAATCAACGACAATCATCACATCCTCCACACTTCAGACCGCCTAGCCTGTGCCATCCCAGACACCCCGCTTGTAGCTTACAGGTAGGCGTCCCCGCAACCTACGGGAGCTTATCGTTCGGGTAGAGGTGCCCCCTTTGGATACCCTTCCCCCACAAACCAAGGCACGTTCAAGTGTGATTCTAACAGATGTGTTGTTTGCCAGAACCATGTCCTGGAATCAGATACATTCTCTGGACACTCCTCCGGTACCACCCACAGAACTAAAGGCACCATCACTTGTAGCTCTTCTAATGTCATATATCTTATCTCTTGCAGGATGCAGTGTTCTGTATGTTGGAGAGACTTAGAACACTCTCAAAAGCGTTTCTATGGCCACAGAGCTACGGTCAACACCAAACGACTAGATACCCCTGCAGGCCACTGACCTTCCTAACCATTCTATGTCAGACATGATCTTACAGAGCATAGACTCGTATGCTTCTGTAAAGATGCTGTTCGCTTCAACAGGGAAAAGCTTTGGGTCAGACGCCAACCCCATGGCCTGAACATCCAAGTGGGAAACTACTAATTAACACTCCTTTCTTTCCCTCTCTTTTGTCTGCAGATTATAACCCCCTCCCAGTTGGGATCCAGTTCCATCCGTTGTATTTTTTCTTTGATCTCTTCCCTCCTTACATTCCTTTGTTGTTCAACCATGCCTTTCACGCAGTCCCTTCGCCCCTTGCCCCTTTATCCAGCCTGCAGCTTCCTTGACCTTTCCTTTTGTCCTCTTGCATTCATCCATGCTTGGTTGATTCCCTGTGTAATTTTATATAACAGGTTTTGCCCTTACCCAACGTATATTAATAAGCACTGTATGCTCAGTGCTTGTCCGAGAGCTTGCGAAAAAACCTCAGGAATTAACATCTCCCCAACGCAAAAATACATCTTGAAAATAGTTCGCGGTACCCGCTGCTTCATTTGAC